AACGGCTGTGAATTATTGTTCATTCACCGCCCGTAATGGAGTCACAAAGAGTAAAGAGTCCGACAGAAGTCTGCCACAGTCCTTCGGGATAAGGCTGATAAGCACCCACCTTTATCTCCCTTGACACGCTGCCAAAGACCTAATTGGCAGTTAGCTTTGCAAGGCCACACAGAGCACAGAGTCAAAACGGAACTTCAGAACTTAAACCGACCAACACGAACAACGTTGCTTCCTACAAAGGCTCATGTGCTTTTGCTGCTCCTTTATGTCTTATGGGAGGGGCCAATCATCTCCAACCTTTACTCCTGAGTCGTCCCTTTTGTTTTAACTGTTCTTGCCTTTTGGCAGCTCTGCACATGCGTGCACAGGGAATAGGCTTCCCCTGTTCCTCTGCCTTGCTGATGTTTGACTCTGGAGGCTCCGGAGTCTGCATATAACTCCCAGATGGCCCTGGCCCCCTCTCTGCCTCCGACGCAGAGCCCTCATCAGAGCCTTCCCCAGACTCCAGGACTGGCCCATGTTCCTCCCCAATCTCCTCACTGTCCGACTCCGCTGCCAACTCCTTAGGCCGCCAGCGGATCACAACACCTTTCTCTGGATCGTTACCCCTTGTTCTCCTTTGCTCTTAATTCATCCGTAAAATAACCAGCACGAGCAGTCGGTGTTGACAGCGTGGGATCAAAACCTCGCCTGGATTTTAGTCAGGCTATCGTTCTAAAGGGCTTTGTTTCTTTTTTAGGCGCTCGCTTCGATGATGGGGCCGGAGGAGACAATGAAGTCCAGCGCACAATGCTGGAATTGATCAACCAACTCGATGGCTTTGATCCGAGAGGGAATATCAAAGTGCTGATGGCAACGAACAGGCCGGATACTCTCGATCCAGCATTGATGAGGCCTGGAAGATTAGATAGGAAGATTGAATTTAGCCTACCGGATTTGGAGGTTTAGAATGCTTTTATTCTTACATAATGTCGGTGATGACGATGATGAATGGTATACTGGTGCAGGTAGTCCCCGACTTACGACCACAACGGAGTCCAAAATTTATGTTGCTAAGTGAGACATTTGTTGAGGTTTGCTCCGTTTTACAACGGTCCTTGCCACCTTTGTTAAGTGAACCACTGCAGTTGTTAAGTTAGTCACGCGGTTATTAAGTGAGTCTGGCTTCCCCCATTGACTTTGCTTGTCAGGAGGTCGCAAAAGGGGATCATGTGATCCCGGAGACCCTGCAACCGTCATAAATAGGAACTAGTTGTCCAGCATCCGAATGTATACAGCTCCTGACCATGGCGGATGCTGCAATGGTCGTAAGTGTGAAAAATGGTCCTAAGTCACTGTTTTCAGTGCCGTTGTAACTTTGAACGGTCACTAAACGAACCGTTAAGTCGAGGACTACCTGTATTCCAAATAATTCAAGGCGGTGAACATCTCCAATACATCCCCATATGTTCCTATTTTCCCCCACAATAACTCGTGAGGTAAATTGGGCTTGAGACAGAGAGCGACGGGCCCAATGTCACCCAATTGGCTTCATGGCTGAGGCAGGACTTGAACTCGCAGCCTCCCACTTTCTAGCCTGGTGCTTTTGACCAGACTGGTTCTCACATAGCTGTTCCACATAGATAAGACTGTTCTTTTACCCCGCAACACTCATTCACCCCTACCCACATTTCATCATGTTTTCCATTCTTCAGCCTCTTTTGTTGTTGTTAGTTGCGAAGTCGTGTCGGACCAATCGCGATCCCACGTTCCTCCAGGCCTTCCTGTCCTCTTCCATCCTCTGGAGTCCATTTAAGCTCACGCCGACTGCTTCAGTGACCCCATCCAGCCACCTCGTTCTCTGCTATCCCCTTCTTTTACCCTCAATCTTTTAACAACTCCCCCTCCCCAATAATCCCTTGCGGGGTGGAGTCTGGGCAGTTGAATGGAGCTGAGTGTTTACTGGCCGGATGCCTTTCCTGTCACCAATGCGGAGTTTTCTTCAGCAGATATATTCTCATTGTGCCCAGAGAGAGAGAGAGAGAGAAATAGCTGCCTCTACCTAGGATCGAACTCATAGCTTCCCGATTGTGAGGGCGAGAGCTCCGCCTCTAGGCCACCACACTACTCATCCTCACTTGCGTACAACGGCGTGCTCAAAACTCCTGTCTTGCCTTTCTTAGGAAGACAAGTCGTTTTGATCTGAGCCAGGAGAGTCCAACAACATCTGCTAAACCCTTTTTGAATTATTTCAGTTACGTTTATTATAAACAAACCCTGGTTTCTTTCTTTCTCTAGGGAAGAACTCACATATTCAAAATCCACGCCCGTTCCATGAGCGTTGAAAGAGACATAAGGTTTGAATTGCTGGCTCGGCTGTGTCCCAATAGCACCGGTAAGTTAAGCATTAGCAATAGCTCTCAAGCGAAGCGAAGCCCCATCCGTGGACCCCCTTCGGTCCACGGAAAAATCTGCCCCCACGGAAACCAGTCCCTGGCGCCCGAAAAGTTGGGGGACGCTGCTTTACAGACCTAAGCGGTTTACAGAGCCAAACCTATTGCCCCCAACAATCTGGGTCGTCATTTTATCGACCTGGGAAGAACGGAAGGCTGAGTCAATCTTGAGCCGATCAGGATCGAACTCCTGGCAATGGGCAGAGTTTGCCTGCAATATTGCGTTCTAACCACTGTGCCTGCATGGCTTAAGATAGCAATAGCACTTAGAGTTATATACCGCTTCACAGTGCTTTACCGCCCTCTCTAAGCGGTTTACAGAGTTGGCTTGTTGCCCCCCAACAATCTGGGTCCTCATTTTACCAACTTCAGGATGGAAGGCTGAGTCAACCTTAAGCCTGTCAGGATTGAACTCCTGGCAGTGGGCAGAGTCAGCCTGCAATACGGCATTCTAATCACTGCGCCACCAGGAAGGAGAATGAGAAAGGGAAGAAGAGAGGGAAGGAAGGAAGGAAGGAAGAAAAGGAGCGAGCAGCAATAGCACTTAGACCTCGGAAGGATGGAAGGCTGAGCCAATCTTGAGCTGGTCAGGATCAAACTCCTGACAGTGGGCAGTTTGCCTGCAATACTGCATTCTAACCACTGCGCCAACACAGCTCCTATCATCGTAGTTTTTGTCGGGTTGTGCTCTCGTGTGCTTTATTATGCTTCATGTTGTTTTTAAATCCATTTTTTTTAATGAAATTTTATTGAGTAAAGAATATATTACATTTCAAACTCTACGGTTCGGCAACGTGTAGTCATCTTGTATATTTACATATATGGAATCTAATCAATTATCTAGGTATTATACAATTTATATGTAAACCTTGTAAAATTGAACACATAATACAACAATAATATATAGATTAATTAATAATTATACATTGTCCTAATGAGAGTTAACTTTTGCATTTATTTTTCAACCACCTATACCACAAATCCATTTTTTTTATTCCTCCACCCCGCACAGGTGCTGAAATCCGCAGTGTGTGTACAGAGGCGGGTATGTTCGCTATCCGAGCGAGGCGAAAAATTGCCACCGAGAAGGACTTCCTGGACGCGGTGAACAAAGTCATCAAGTCCTACGCCAAATTCAGCGCTACCCCCCGATACATGACCTACAACTAAGTTTGTATCTTTCATATAACTCTTTGAGTTTGTTTCTGGGGAGTGTTTTTTGTGTTGTAGCTGGACCTAGTAGAAGTAAAAAAAAAAAAGAAAAGAAAGAAAAAAATGACATTCCAACTTAATGTGGTTGTCCTTATTGAAAGTTGTAAACTAGCTTTATTGTGATATTCAATAAAGAGATCAAACTCCTGACTTTTAATGCTTCTTAATTTACTTTCTAAATTGAGCCATGGTGGCGCAGTGGTTAGAGGGCGGTACTGCAGGCGACTTCTGCTGACTGCCAGCTGCCTGCAATTCTGCAGTTTGAGTCTCACCGGCTCAAGGATGACTCAGCCTTCCGTCCTTCCGAGGTGGGTAAAATGAGGACCCAGATTGTTGGGGGCAAGAGGCTGTGTAAACAGCTTAGAGAGGGCTGCAAAGCACTGTGAAGCGGTATATATGTCTAAGTGCTATTGCTAAAGCAAATGTAAAACTGTTTAGGTTTCAATTAAGCCAGGAACACTTTTGAGAAGAGCACAATGGCGCCTTCTGCACACAAATAAATGGTACACGAGATGATTTCTTCCAGCTGTTTTGAAGACTAGAACCGACCATTTCATGCTGGAGCAATGAAATTAATTTTTAACAAAGGAGGAAAGTTAGAATGAGAAGATAAAAGTTAGAATAAGAAGGTATTGTACCCTGGTTAATGCCTTTATTGTAAACCAACGTTGGCCAACCTTGGCAACTTTTTAAGACTTGTGGACTTCCAACTCCCAGAATTCCATGCTGGCTAGGGAATTCTGGGAGTTGAAGTCCACAAGTCTTAAAAAGTTGCCAAAGTTGGATATCCCTATTGGAAGCAGTAGATGAAGCAGTGAAAGCCCAACATACTATAGATTACCATATACCAACATGAAGGAATTACCGTATTTTTCGGAGTACAAGACACACTTTTTCCCCCTTAAGAGAGGGTGAAAATTTGGGTGCATCTTATACACCGAATGTAGCCCCATCCACCCACCGGCCCCCACCCTTTGACCTCTGTCTCCTAGCAATTTGCCTCCTAACAGCAAACAGCCCGTTTCAGTTTCAGCACAGGCTGATTAGCACAAGCAGCTGATTGTCGGTTGGATTGGCCTCCCAACCATCAGCTGTTTCAGGCTGCAGGGATTGCCTATTGCCGCCCCCGCGCGCCCCATTTTGCTGTTTGCTGCAAGGAGGCAAATTGCGGGGAGGCAGATTTTTTTTTTCTTGTGCTAATCAGACTGTGCTGAAAGTGAAACAGGCTGTTTGCTGCGAGGAGGCAAATTGCTGGGAGGCAGATTTTTTTTTTTCTTGTTTTCCTCCCCAAAAAAGGTAGGTACGTCTTATACGCCAAAAAATATGTTTAGATGTCTAAAAATGACAAGAGTGAAATTTCAAGATTTATCTTCTTTTTATTTAGAGGTTTTAACTTTGGACTTGTATCTGAAAGAAATGTTTGGTTATAAAATGCAACAGGACTTCGCCAGAACAGGCGGTCGATAGAATATATTGACTCCCACAAGAAAAGATCTTGCAAAAATACCAGAATAATTAAACTGTATATTCACAGTGCATTCTATGTTAACTCTTAGCAATTCACATAAGCTGCAAAGGGCTATTTTTCCTTAAATATAATACGAGAAAGGCAGCACATTGGAGTCCTGCATCCTTTGTACAGCCTCGCTAAGAAGCAGCTCCATGAAAGAGTGTGGGGTGGCCTGAATTAGTTTATATTTCATTTCTAGAAACTGCTAATCAGTTTGCAAACTGACGCTAAAAGAAACCCCTTTTGATGGACGAGTCTTCGGCCGTCAATATTTCAAATTTGCTTCAAAAACTGTAGATATAAAGAAATGCATGTAAACAGCCTTTGCTGGATAACACCAAAATCCTCTGGTTTAAACATACCAGGGAAGAAAATCTGTTTATCTAATAATAATATTTTTAACACAGGAGAGTTATCAGTTTGGCAACGTTAGAAAGGCAGGAACTGTATTTGGGGAGCGAGGGGCAGAAACCTCCCTAGATGCTTAAGGCTTATTAAGTATAATTGTGGAGAAATTGAATTATCTGCTCAATTCCTCCATTTTATTTTTTATTTCCGGCTGCTTCGTGGCGGCAATGTCTCAACCCTGTATTTATCTACCTGAGAGGAAGCACTATCGAAATAAAACTTGCATAGGGCATCCGGCTGCATTCTAGTCAACAAAACAGATTTTATTTTTATTTTTTTGCAACCAACCGCTGGAAGTAACGGGACATAAATTGATAATGCTCGTTGTGTTGAGAATTGTCTCAAGAAACCAACTTCCTTAGGAGTCCAGTGATGTGAGATTTTTAGAACAATCTTTTTTTGTGACTTAAAAGATGTGTCAAGTGCACCGAAAATACATCAAACAGGACCCTCTATTTTGGAAAACATCATTTTTTTCCTTTCCAGACGACTCGTAGCTAGCTGCAGTTAACTAGGCCTCGCTAGCTTTAGGTGTAGAAAGTAGATTTTTGGTGCTATGTTTTTTTCCCCTCTTACCTAACTAGTTGCACTCTTTTTCATTCCCAGCTAATTTTAAATACACCTTGCTTAAGGTTATTAGGTCAGTACAGGAGCCTCCTTTATATGAAAACAATCTATTACTCTTCAGTCATAATCATTTATAAAATGGAGTTAAACTCCTCATGGGTTCCAAAAAAAGTGTTTACACTTAGTAGTTCATCGGACGAAAGCCACTTGATTTCTGAACTGAAAATCTGGAAACACAGCTTGCATTTTCAAGTTAGAGCAGCGCTCTCACGCACACAATACACACAATCGCACCTCCACCCACACGGTGCTCCTTTCCACATCCATCCCAATTCTTGCACAGGAACGCGCCGTTAAAATAAGAGCGCGTTCATATTGTTTGCCCCGTGAAACTCAGAAAGAAAACGGCCAAACGGCGGCCAAATCTTCCCGTGTTGTACAAATATTTGCGTTTTATCCCACACGTCCATCGACAAACTTGTGAATTTCAGCGAAAAGGTACAACGCTGGAAAGGATTAAGGCTTCTGGAGTCTTCGAGCCGAAGGGCTGGCAGGGAAACACAGGCTGTTGCGGTGTGGGTGTAGACGCACACCTTACCCGTAGGAGTGGCTAGTCTTCGGCTCCGCCATCTGTGCAAATTAAATAAAGGTCTACGGGAGCCCTTGGAAATAGATCCACCTAGTTCAGGAGTGGAGGAGATGAGTTAAAGATAGGTGGAAGAGAAGCCTTTCAGCTGGCTGGTGAGGACGGCATCGTGAACGCTCGGAAAGAACAAATCTCGTAAGGATGCTTTCTCGAAAAAATGCAGTCTAGTGAGGTTGTCCATAACAGAGCCTGGTGAGAATAAAAGGAAAATATATATATTTCAGGCATGTATATGATATCAAGAATCAGGTATCCATTTAAGAGTCCCTTATACAGGTAGCTTACGATTATAATTGAGCCCCGAATTTTTGTTGCTCAGTGGGACATTTGTGAAGTGAATTTTGACCCATTTTACGACCATTAAATGTTAATTGATTACTGTAATTAAAACAGCCCTTATTCACCTACAGGAAAATAAAAATCTCTTGGCTGAAGATAGACTTAAATTAGTACTGTATACAGGTAGGCCTCAACTTACGACCACAATTGAACCCAATATTTATGTGGTTGTGAAAAAGTTTAGTTTTGCTCCGTTTTACGACCTTTTTTTGCCACCGTTGTTAAGCAAATCACTGCCATTGTTAAATTAGTAACATGATTGTCAAGCGAATCTGGCTTTCCCAGTGAGTTTTCTTGTCAGAAGATTGCAAAAAGTGATCACATGACTCCGGAACACTGCGACAATCATAAATGTGAGTTGCTAAGTGTCTGAATTCTGATCACGTGACTACGGGGATCCTGAAATGGTTATAAGTGCGAAAAATGGTCAGATGTTACTTTTTTCAGTGCCATTGTTAACTTTGAATGGTCACTAAATAAACTGTTGTAGTCGAGGACTAACTGTACAAATGTCTCGTGTAGCAACAGAAATTTCAGGTACAATTTTGGTCCTAAATTGAGGACTATCTGTATTACTACCCAGCCTCTACAAATGAAACTACATAAAAGAACTATTTATAAAACAGGAAACATTGTACACATGTTGTGCATTGTCAATAAAGATTTGATTTGATTTGATAAGGTTAGGGAAACAATGGTGTAACAGGAATTAACAATGATTTGAAATTATACACTGTTTTATTTTATAAATGTTATTAAGTTTCTTTATAAGGGGGCACAATGGCTCAGCGGTTAAAAGCACTGAGCTTGTCAACTGGAAAGCTGATAATCCGGGTTTGAGGCCCGAGCACTGCACGACAGGGTGAGCTCCCATCCTCGCCTCAGCTCCTGCCCACCTAGCAATCCAAAAGCACGCAAATGTGACTAGATAAACAGGTACCACTTAGGTGGGAAGATAAGAGGGTTCTGCACACCACTGCCGTAAAGACATGCTGGCCACATGACCACGGAAATGTCTTTGGACAACGCTGGATCCCTCGGCCACGAAACAGAGACGAGTACCGCCCCCTAAAGTTGGACACGACTGGACAGAAAAATCTTTACTTAACCTTATTTTATAAATTTTGTTAAGCTTCTTTATAAGATAAAGTCCAAAAGGCACAAAAGTAAGAGAATCAGTGATTCCCTTACTTTTCTAACGTTTGCTTCTTCTACATTCTATCTTATAATCTAATAAGTATAAATCTTATACTGTGATCTTATTGTGATTTTAAATTTACTTTTATATATATTTCAAATGTTATAAGCCGTCCAAGAGTCGCCTTGCAGTGAGATGGGCGGCAAACAGATTGAATAAAACAAATGATGAAAATTAATGACATTTATGAAATAAAATATCTTGGCTTCCTTTTATTTCTTCTGTATTTTATCTTATAATGAAACTTGATAAAATTTATGAGGTATAACTGAGGGTCATTTCAAATCATGGTTAATTCCTGTTGCACCATTGTTTCCCTAACCTTTTCCTTCATTCTCCAAAGTCACTTATCAGAAAATCCTTTTTTTACCGCTTATCGGAAAGACCTTTTTACTATTTATCAGAAAGTCTTTATTTAAATGTCCCTTCTGGGCAATGGGTTTGTGCGTCATTTCTCAAACAAAAGTCACTTTTCCCCAATTTGGGGTAATTTACCCAGGCTGGGGAAACACAGTTATGCGCAGAAAACAAAACGACCGAAAAACAAAGTTCTCACAAGCAAAAGCAAAAATGATTTTGTTCCCCAGGGAACAGCGGATAATTATTTCTATGAGAGAAAGTTGTGTTTGGCTCATAAACTTGACTTGTTGATTAAGTTGTGTTTTGTTCTGCACTCGGATAAAGCACTGGGGATAATATTATATTTTGGCACAAGCCTTGGTTTATTTAAAACCATAAACTATGCCTCTGTATTCCTCTCTTGCTTTAATCCGATACTGATATTGTTTTTCTTTTTGAAAAAGTTTTTTTTTCCACAGCTTCCACCTTTCCAAAATATTTGGTAAAATATATATTTAAAAGTAGTCCTCAACTTACGACTAGAATTGAGCTCAAAATGTCTATTGCTAACCGAAACAGTGAAGTGAGTTTTCCTCAATTTTACCACCTTTCTTAACACAGTTGTTGAGAGAATCACTGCAGTTGTTAAGTTAGAAAAACGGTTGCTAAGTGAATCCCCATTGACTTTGCTTGTCAGAAAAGAGGATTACATGATCCCAGAACACTGCAACCGTCATAACTCTGAGTCGGTTGTCAAGCATCCAAATTTTGATCACGTGACCATGGGATGCTGCCTTAAATGTGAAATGGCTTAGGACCTGGTTACTTACGGGACCGCCTACTACCACCAATAGCCTCCCACCGGCCGGTACACTCTCATAGAGAGGGGCTCCTCCGGGTGCCGTCAGCCAAACAATGTCGACTGACAGCCCCCAGGGGGAGAGCCTTCTCTGTGGGGGCACCTACTATCTGGAATGAGCTCCCCCCCGGAGATATGGAGGATCCCAGATCTGCGCACCTTCCGCCGCGCTCTCAAGACCTTTTTATTCCATCAGGCGGGCCTGGCCTAATCTTTTCCCCCTTTTTCTCTTTTAATACGTAAATTTTAATCTGTTTTTAAATGATTGGGGTGTTTTAAATCTGTCTGGGCCAAATTTGTTTAATTCGGTTTTATTCTGTTTTTTAAATTTTGTATTTATGTATTTTATTGTTTGGCTGTTCACCGCCCTGAGTCCTTCGGGAGTAGGGCAGTATATAAATCAAATAAAGACTAAAAGACTAAAGACTAAAACAGTCATAACTCACTTTTTCCAGTGCTGTTGTAACTTTGAACGGTCACTAAACGAATGGTTATAAGTCAAGGACTTATACTGTACAAATGTACACATACAATTCCAGTTCTTCAAGGAATCGCTAATCTTACTTGGTGTGATGTAGGACCGCAGTTGGTGGATTATACAATGTGATGGACTTCCACCCAATATATTGGCTAGGTAGGAATTCAAGTGTAGTAATTTTGGAAGGCATCAAGTTGAGGAAGACTAAGACAGAACATTTAATGTCCTAACGACTGTGGGAAAATTTAACCCACATTTCTCCGACTTACCATTGCAGGCAGTTATATAAACTGAAACGCCAATTTCTTCATATTCTTTTATGATCTGCAACAGGGAAGAAAATAACTTTCGGTTAATATTTCTAGATTTATCGAAGCTCGTCCATTCCACCCCTACCAATCTGCTATAAAATTCCCTTTTCAAGTTGATTTCCAGTCGTCTTAAGAAATATTCGGAAGGAATAAGATGAAACTCAACGCTAAACCTCTCAAACGAGCCTTGATAGTACAGTGGTCTACGCACCCTGTTATTAACAGAGCTGCCTGCAATTTACTGCTGGTTCGAATCTCTCCAAGGCTCAAGGTTGACTCAGCCTTCCATCCTTTCTAAGGTAGGTGAAATGAGGACCCAGTTTGTGGGGGCAATAAGCTGACTTTATATAAATATACAAAAGGATGAAGGCTATTGCTTAACGCATTGTAAGCCGCCCTGAGTCTCTGGAGAAGGGCGGCATATAAATCAAATAAAAAAAAAAAAACTGTCTTTCTTATCCGGATGCCCCCTCTGGATATGGCTAAAGATGTACTGTAGGAGAAAAAGTGGCGGAACCTGGAGACGGAGTCAAAAGAGGGATCAGCCTAGAATCCCTATAGTCATAAGTGAATTAAGTCCCATGAATTCCGTGGACCCTTATTTAACTCTCAAGCAGGTGCTATGGGGTAGCTGAGAAGACTCCTATGCCAAGGCTATTTAGCAATAAAACAGTTTAATTGGACTTTCTTTTGTGGACCTGACCTTTCCCATCTGACAAAAGGAAACAACATATGTGGGGAGACTCAGATTACAGATTAACAGAGTTGGAAGGGACCTTGTAGGTCATCTAGTCCAACCCCCCCGCCAAAACAGGAGACCCTACCCCATTTCTGACACATGGCAGTCCAGTCTCTTCTTGAAAGCTTCCAGGGATGAAGCTCCCACAACTTCTGAAGGCAACTTCTGTTCCATTGGTTGATCTCACTGTCAGAAAATTTCTACTCATTTTCAGGTTGAATCTCACCTTGTTCTACTTCCATCCATTATTCTTTGTCTGGCCTTCAGGTGCTTTGGAAAATAGTTTTGACTCTCTGTGGCAGCCCTTCAAATATTGGAAGACTGCTATCATGTCTCCCCTGGTCCTTCTCTTCATTAGACTAGCCATGCCCAGTTCCTACAACAGTTCTTCATATGTTTTATTTATTTATTTATTTTATTTATTATATTTCTATACCGCCTTTCTCCCGTAGGACTCAAGGCGGTGTACAGTCAAGAAAAATATAGACACACAAACATCATAAAATTGCTAATTAAAATTATTACTTTTAAGTTTTAGCCTCCAGTCCCCTCATCATCTTGGTAGCTCTTCTCTGCGCTCTTTCTAGAGTCTCAACATCTTTTTTAATAGTGTGGTGACCAAAACTGAATGCAGCATTCTAGGTGTGGTCTTACTACGGCTTTATAGACTGGTATTAGTACCTCACTTGATCTTGACTGTATCTCTCTGTTAATGCAATTTAGGATTGCATTTGGCTTTTTTGGCTGACTTGAAAAAAGATACTGAATTGTAGTAAGCACTTTTGTGTAATCCTACCAGGAACCATTAAAATAAATAAATAAATAAATTCCTGCAATGATGTAGGGGCTCTCACAAAAAAAGAGGTGGGGTCAACCTATTCTCCAAAGCACCTGAGGGCAGGACAAGAAGCAATGGGTGGAAACTAATCAAGGAGAGAAGCAACTTAGAACTAAGGAGAAATTTCCTGACAATTAGAACAATTAATCAGCGGAACAACTTGCCTCCAGAAGTTGTGGCTGCTCCATCACTGGAGGCTTTTAAGAAGAGATTGGAGAGCCATTTGTCTGGAATGGTATAGGGTCTCCTGCTTATGCAGGGGGTTAGACTAGAAGACCTTCAAGGTCCCTTCCAACTCTATTATTCTCTTATTCTGTATCTATTCTTATTATTCTGAGCCGCGGTGGCGCAGTGGTTAGAGTGCAGTACTGCAGGCTACTTCTGCTGATCACCGGCTGCCAGCAGTTTGGCAGATCGAATCCCACCAGGCTCAAAGCTGACTGAGCCTTCCATCCTTCTGAGGTCAGTAAAATGAGGACCCCAATTGTTGGGGGCAAGATGCTGACTCTGTAAACCACTTAGGGCTGTAAAGCACTATGGAGCGGTATATAAATCTAAGTGCTGCTAATTATTATTATTATTATTATTAATATCTCTTTTATTCATTAAACATTAAACTCAGTCAACTGAACATTTAAAAATGTGTCACAAATACCATTGACTGGTGCTAATGGTTGATACAGATTATTATTATTATTAATATTAATATCTCTTTTATTCATTAAACATGAAACTCAGTCAACTGAACATTTAAAAATGTGTCACAAATACCATTGACTGGGCTAATGGTTGATAGGGGTTATTATTATTATTAATATTAATATCTCTTTTATTCATTAAACATTAAATTCAGTCAACTGAACATTTAAAAATGTGTCACAAATACCATTGACTGGTGCTAATGGTTGATAGGGGTTATTATTATTATTAATATTAATATCTCTTTTATTCATTAAACATTAAATTCAGTCAACTGAACATTTAAAAATGTGTCACAAATACCATTGACTGGTGCTAATGGTTGATAGGGGTTGTTGCCAGCATCCGAGGTATCAACCAAGTACATTATTATTATTATTATTATTATTATTATTATTATTATTATTATTATTATTATTATTATTATATTATTATTATTATTATTATCTTTTAACTTCACCCACTTCTTCTCTGCATGCATGAAAGAGAACAAAATTAAGCAGATGCTTTATTGTCAGAAAGAGCGATCAAAACCGGTAGTACGTACTGACTGAAGGGCTTTGGCTCCAACTGAATCCACAAAGTTCACAGGTGAAAAATCTAGAACGATGGAGTGGACTTTGCTTCCTGGTGTCATAAAATGTTCCAGTTCCCCCGGAGAGACATCTTGAGGAGTTGCTTCGGCCGCTGAGAATTTCCCATTAAGCGAGACTTCGTCTTGCATCACTTCATGTTTCATGCTGTGGTCCACATCATTCGTCTTTATTTTTATTTTTTTTCATTTTGTTTCAAGATTAAAATACAAAACAACAGGAAAAACACAAAAGAAGACAAAAAGGGACACAGAACATAAAACAGTCAAAACATTTTTTTTAAAAGCATTTGAAAACCCCTAATCGCCACATATACACATATTTTATCCCCTCTAGTTGAATACTGATTAATATACAATGCTAATATAAATTAGCTTGACTCCCTCTTCTTTGTGGCAGCCCCTGAGATATTGGAACACTGCTATCATGTCTCCCCTAGTTCTTCTTTTCATTAAACTAGCCGTGCTCAGTTCCTGCAACCGTTCGTCATATGTTTTAGCCTCCAGTCCCCTCATCATCTTCGTTGCTCTTCTCTGCACTCTTTCTAGAATCTCCACAACTTATTTACATCCTGGCGACCAAAACTGAATGCAGTATATAAACTGAGAGCCACTAGTATATAAACTGAGAGCAAACCTCATTCCTTACTATCATTGATGAAGTTACCTAGCTGGATAATAAAACGTCTGCAAGAAAACCACCAAACTCAGAGAGCACCAATGATCTCTCATTTCAACCCTGAGGTATAAATTATTATTACTATTGTTGTTGTTATTATTATTGTTGTTATATTATTATTATTATTATTATTATTATTATTATTATTATTATTATTATATTATTATTATTATTATTATTATTATTATTATTATTATTATTATTATTATTATTATTATTAATTGAATTTGTATACCCTACTCCCGAAGGACTCAGGGCGGTGAACAGCCGAATAAAATACATATTAATATAAATGTTAAAAAACCATTAAAATACAATTAAATAATTGGCCCGGAAAACAAAATTTAAAACACCCCAAATTCATAAGACAAGTTTCAAATTTAAAAATTTAAATTTTTTTAAAAAACAATTTAAAAGAGAGGTTAGGCCAGGCCGGCCTGCTGAAATAGAAAATAATAATAATAAATAATCTCCTTTTTCGGTAGAAATCTCTTAGCAGTTAAACCCAAACCCTAGTTTGTATTCCCCAATGCATTTCAAACTCACCAACTTCAAAACAGCTTTCTTCTGCTGTTCGTCCAGCCGCTTTAGTTCCTTCGCGTGCCTTTTTTGCGCTTTTTTCTTTGCCGCCAATATTTTACGGGGATCCACGCCAGTCTACCCCAGAAAGAAAGGAAAATCTCATGAAGCTTTATCTTACCTTGTACAAAAAATAGCAGGGTTAACAGTGATAGGCTGCTGCCAAAATAAATAGGTGAATCTTATAAGGTACGATCCTTCTATAAATCTGTGTGCCAAAATATGGGCCCTGAATGAATAGCTTTAATTCATAACAGCTTTACTGAATTAAAGCGATTAATGAGGTCAGTTTACTTACTATGTTTATCATTCATGTCCGTTGCAAATGGGACTCCGGTTTAGAAAAGGGAAGAGGTTTTGGATATCCTAGTAAAATGATCCTTGACTCAGTTCAAAATATTATTGGCCACACAGTATGTGTGTGTATATATATATATATATATAAGAGGTGCGGCGGCCTAGAGGTGGAGCTCTCACCTCACAATCAGGAGGCTGTGAGTTCAATTCTAGGTAGAGGCAGATATTTCTCTCTCTGGGCACAATGAGAATATATCTGCTGAACAAAACTCCTCATCAGCAACAGGAAGAGCATCCGGCCATTCAAACACTCTGCTAGCTCCATTCAGTTGCCCAGACTCCACCCCGCAAGGGATTATGGGGTCATTAAAAGAAGACGACGCAGTATATAAGTGGTCTTAGACATACAAGCATTCGTTTAGTGACTTTTCGGAGTTACAACGGCACTGAAAAAAGTGACTTATGATTATTTTTAACACAAACATTGCAGCATCCCCATGGTCACATGATCAAAATTCAGAGGCTTGGAAACTGGCTCGTATTTATGACGGTTGCAGTGTCCCGGGGTCCCCTTTTGCGACCTTCCAACAAGCAAAGTCAACGGATGAAGCCGGATTCACTAAACAACCGCGTTACTAACTTAACAACTGCAGGGATTCATTTAACAACGGTGACGCGAAAGGTCGTATAACGGGGCAACACTGGCTTAAGGTCTCACTTAGCAAATGGAAATTTTGGGCTCAACTCAGGTGTGAAATGCTTCTGGTTCAGACCGGATCGCCCAATCCGGTAGCGATGGAGGCGGGTGGTTTGGAGAACCGGTAGCAAAAATCCCTGCCCCCCCCATTTCCCAGCTGAGCTGCACAATAATCAGAGGCTTTTTTTTAAATTATTAAAAGCATTTTTTCTACAACCTCTTTGGCCAAAAAAAAATGCTTTTAAAAGTAAAAAAAAATGCCTCTGATGATCGCGCGGCTCAGCTGGGATCATCAGAGGCTTTTAAAAGCGATTTTTCTACAACCTCTTTGGCCGAATAGGTTATAGAAAAAAGGTTTTTAACAGGAAAAAAAGCATCTGCCGATTAGGGAAGTCAGCTGGGATCGTCAGAGGCTTAAAAAAAAAAAAAAAAAGAAAGCCTCTGCCGATCAGGCAAGTCAGCTGGGATCGTCAGAGGCTTTAAAAGCATTTTTTTTACAACCTCTTCAGTCGAAGAGGTTGTAGAAAAAATGGTTTTAAAAGTAAAAAAAAAAAAAAGTTGGCCACGCCCACTCAGTCATATTACCCCCCCCCAAGCCACGCCCACAGAACCGGTAATAAAATTTTACATTTAACCACTGGCTCAACTGTGATTGTAAGTCAAGGTCTACCTGTGCTGGACCGTACCACTACAGGTGAAGGCATACAATATTTGAGTAGCACCATCCTCACCTTTGCCTGATTTTTTAAAAAAACTGTGGAAGAATAAAACTAGCATCTTAAATAGAAATGGCAGTCTTAATTCTGTATAGTGCAGAGTTGTTTTTTTTTTTAAAGATTGAGAAGACCACAACCTTCCTGTAACACCCCCTCCCCCCCAAAAGTCTGTAATTCTAGAGCCCAACGAAGATCCGTTTCATGAGTTTACTTGTACAATTTAGCTATGAAATTTGACAGTGGACTGAATAACCAGGAAGAAGGAAATTCCTTTACCTTTCTTTTCAATGCGCTGGTAAATAATTCACTGTTGGCAAAATAGAGCGGTGCATTTGCCTGGAATATTTTAATCCCAGGGCATTCTTTTACCTAAATGGTGGCAGAATTAAAACAAATAATAAGCATTCCTTGGTAAGTTTGTATTGCATTGAATTCATCAGAACCTGCAAAAATAGCTATTTCTTTCCCTTCCCAAAAAGTAGACAATTACAAAAAAAATTTTTTTAATTTTTTTTAATTTGATTTATATGCCGCCCTTCTCCGGAGATTCAGGGTGGCTTACAATGCGCTAAGCAATAGCCTTCATCCTTTTGTATATTTATACAAAGTCAATTTATTGCCCCCACAATCTGGGTCCTCATTTTACCTACCTTTGAAAGGATGGAAGGCTGAGTCAACCTTGAGCCTGGTGAGATTCGAACCTGCAGTAATTGCAGGCAGCTGGTCTTAATAACAGGGTACTTTAGACCACTGTACTACAAAGGCTTTACCGGATGTTAGTCCAAAATCAAAAATTAGTGTTTCTACGGGATTATTTTTCTTCAGCCAAAAGTTGCATGGGAGTATTTCTGTGTCTGGCAGACAGGAAAGTGGGGAAAATGGAATTCCCCCTTGTTTTTAAGGATTAAAAATAGGATTGCATTTGTACAATCCTAAAACGCTGTGATTTTTGCTCTATCCAGTAAAACGTATTTTCCTTTCCACTCTTCCCCTAATTCTGGCAATGCTTCTTCCTAAATTAATTGGCAGTTATAAATGTTGTGCCTTCAGTTTGTTTACCCTCCAAATTTGCTGCAAAATTCTTCCTTTTTTTTTGGCAGAGCGCTGAACTATGTTCTAATCATTGGAATGACTTTCCCAACGGAAGCAGAGCTGTTTAAGTCTTTCTTCGTCCTAATAGAAGACCCATACTTTCCACATCTGTAGTAAACAGAAGTAGCAAGCTGGGGCCCAACAGCTGGGTTTGTGAGACGGAAACAGTTAGAACTACATCTATGTTCCTCAGCCTTCAAATCTCTGTTTTGTGATGGAGTCCAAAGTATGGATCAATCTTACTGATCTGGAAACCTTCTAAGATGGATTCCAAAATATGGATCGTCTTACTGATCTGGAAACCTTCTAAGACGGATTCCAAAATGTGGATCAGTCTTACTGATCTGGAAACCTTCTAAGATGGATTCCAAAATGTGGATCAGTCTTACTGATCTGGAAACCTTCTAAAATGGATTCCAAAATATGGATGTCTTACTGATCTGGAAACCTTCTAAGATGGATTCCAAAATGTGCATCAGTCTTACTGATCTGGAAACCTTCTAAGATGGATTCCAAAATGTGCATCAGTCTTACTGATCTGGAAACCTTCTAAGACGGATTCCAAAATGTGGATCAGTCTTACTGATCTGGAAACCTTCTTAAGATGGATTCCAAAATATGGATCAGTCTTACTGATCTGGAAACCTGAGACAAAATCCGAAGTATGATTAACCTTACCGATCTGGAAAGATTCTGGTTGCTCTTCTTCCTAGCTTTAGTTCAACTCAATCGATCGATTGAGGATTCCTGCAAGTACCTTATCTTTCATGAACCTACTGGTAAGACAAGACCACATGGAAGATTACCCCATGGGATCCCTATTGTTCCACCCCGTTTTTTAAAGGAACACGTTAATTTTCTGTGCCTTCAAGAGTTCAAAATCTCTTACCTCTTCATACAGTTCCACATCGCAATAAATATCCGAGTTATGAATCTGGCCAAGGATTCTATATTGGGGACTGTAGAGAAAAAAATTACAGAAATACAATTATTTGCGTTGTAACCATTTCTCTTGGAGAAGTCAGAAGATCACGCGTACTTCCGCATGGCGGAATTCTTAGAAATATTTTTTTAAAAAACCAAACTAACCAACCAAACCTGTCACTTTACTGATTGTGTCCAAAGTTTATGTCCACTACCGAAACAGGTTCTACGGCTTTGAACCTGACTCGCTGATCAAGAAACAAAGCAAGCAGCCTTCTGCTTAACAAAATTAAGCGGTTATATAACAAAGCCTTTACCAGAAAAAAAAGTAGTAAAGAAAAAGGACGCGGTGGCTCAGTGACTAAGACGCTGAGCTTGTTGATCGAAAGGTTGGCAGTTCAGCGGTTCGAATCCCTAGTGCTGCGTAATGGGATGAGCTCCCGTTACTTGTCCCAGCTTCTGCCAATCTAGCAGTTGGCAAATAAAAAAGCACATAAAAAATGAAAGTAGAAAAAATAGGGACCACCTTTGGTGGGAAGGTAAGAGCGTTCTGTGCGCCTTTGGCATTGAGTCATGCCGGCCACATGACCACGGAGACGTCTTCGGACAGCGCTGGCTCTTCGGCTTTGAAACGGAGATGAGCACCGCCCCCTAGAGTCGGGAACGACTAGCACATATGTGCGAGGGGGAATCTTTATCTTTACCTTTACCAGACAGGAACTAAGTGAAAAATCTACCTTGCAAGACATGGATCCTCTAATCTATTTTGGAGCCAAAAATCTGTTTCTCTCACCCATGCCAACGGCATCTCATTATCCTCCCTGACTTTGATAGTTTTAAAAGTTTATAAATTGATGGGTTAGCTGAAAGCCAATTTCGGCCCAGAGCATCAATGTCATTCGTGAAATAGGAGGAAAGAATACAGGAAGTCCTCAACTTACAACGGTTTGTTTAGTGACCATTTGAAGTTACGATGGCACCAAACAAAGTGACTTATGATCCTTTTTCACAGTTATGACCTTGCAGCGTCCCTGGGGGGGGGGGGGTCACATGATTTACATTTGGATGCTTTACAACCGACTCACATTTATGACGGTTGCAGTGTCCCGGTGTGTGTGTGTGTGTGTGTGTTTCACATGATCCCCTTTTGTGATCCTCTGACAAGCAAAGCCAACAGATTCAGTTAACGACGGTGTTACTATCTTAACAACTGGAGTGATTCATTTAACTGACGTGGCAAGAGAAGTCACAAAATAGGACCAAACTCGCTTAAGAAATGTGTTGCTTAGCAACCTAAGTTCTGGGCTCAATTGTGATCGTAGGTTGAGGACTACCGGTGTTAGGAATTGAGTTACTCGTGATCAAGGTGGGGCCTGAATTAAATTAAATAAACGACATTAATAAATAAGGGGGGGAAAGCATAAAGAAATGTAAAATTGCCTTTGTTTTATGAGTTTAAAAATGAACTGTACCTCTGGGTCCTGTAGACAATGGTTATCACCGCAAAAGTGATCGACGTGAGTAAGCCGTAGTCCAGGCCCAGAAAAACCGAGGCGAGAAACGCTACAATCCAAATTGCCTGAAAAACATCAAAGAAAACAATCATCCAATCAGCAACACAGGTAGTCCTTAACTTACAACGACAATCGAACCCAAACTTTCAGTTGCTAAGGGAGCCATTTGTTAAGTGAGTTCTGCCCCTTTCTTGTCAACATTGTTAAGCGAATCACTGCCATTCTTAAATTAGTCACACGGTTGTTGAGTGCATATGGATTCCCTTTGTCGGAAGGCCGCAAGAGGGGATCACGTGACACCCCCCCGGGGGACACTGTGACCGTCATAAATATGAATCAGTTGCCAAGCGCCTGAATTTTGATCACGTGACCACAGGGATGCCACCACCGTTGTAAGTGTGAAAAAATGGTCCCAAGTAATTTTTTTCCAGTGCCATTTATAACTTCGAACGGTCACTAAGTGAACTGTTGTAAGTCAAGGACTACCGGCAGAGGTGACAAGCTGAAGAAAGGAAGCTGAGGGGCAGAGCCGCCAAGAGGATTATTAAGTGCTGGAACAAGACAAATATGGGCCCCCTCACCTACACAAGGACACGCGAAGGGAAGCGGAAATCCAGCGAGGGGGAGGCGGGGCTTCTGCTCTCCTGAATGGCTCCGCCCAGTGGTGGGATTTAAGTAATTTAACAACCGGTTCTCCCGAACTGGCTGAATCCCACCACTGGCTCCGCCCCTCCTTGCAGCCCTACCCCTTATTGCAGCCTCAGCTCCTCCCCCTCCCCCGGGAGGGGAACTGAAGCTCCGCGAAGGCTGGCAGCATTTAACGCCAAATTGAAAAAGCATTTGTCACCCCTTTTTGTTAATCTCATCGCGTTTCCATTTTTCCTTGCGTTTTTGAGCTCCAGATTTTTGAGATGACATTTCATAACCATTAAACCAAACTGAAATGAAATATAAAATATATTCATACACGAAATGAAACTAAACTTGCAAACTTAAATAAATAAGTAATTTGGTTTTGCAAAAAAAAATTTTTTTTAAAAAAGTTTCCCCTTCATGGAACAATGTACCAGCTGCACCCCTCTCCCCTCAGGCCTGCTGAGGGGCACAGAATCACTCACCAGTTCAATTTTGCTGGTTCTCCAAAAATGGACAATATCCCCAAATTGTTTGAACATGCCTTTCAGATTGACCATGACAATGGCTGCCAGCACAGTCTAGGAAAATAATTCGAGAATAGTTATAATTTCTATTCTGAATTCGTTGAAAACTCATTCCAAGCATCAAGCCGTATGGACGTATTTATTTAAAAAAAACCAAACACATAATTTCGGATAAGCAATGCATGCCTTTTTAAAAGAACATTGTAAACCTAATAAGGTAAGCATTCATGTAAACAGAAATAACTTTTGATCTTCCGGGCGTACATTTCTCAGAAACTAATGAGATGGTTTCATGACAATTAACCAGCAATACTTTTTTGGCTGTCTGTAGCTGGCAGCTTTCCTAGTTTTCACCTTTATTTCCCCCAAAGTTAGCCTGAAACTGTGTGTTCCTGCTTGCTAACAAACTAGCTTAAAATTTGTCGATTACAAATGCTTTCTAGGATCGGATGAGACCAGCACCATAAAATATATTCATTGTAATTAAGGAAACAGGGGAATTCCACTTGAACAACAAGTTCTCAAAAGTCTCTCCTTAAGTCAAATTTGTATGTGAGCTGTGACAGTATTGTGATATAAATAGCACTGTGCATTTGGACTTGAATCACTGTGTATTTAAGTCGAATTTTGCTACAAAATTCTGTTCTGCTCTGTTCTTAAGCATGGGTAGTCCTTAAACCGAGGCATTCTCAACCTGGGGACTTCCTGTATTCAGAAAATAACTTCAGAAAAAGCTAGTGGTGTTTATGGACAACCACCAGAGAAAAGAATACAAGATAAAATATCCAACAATTACCTATAAGGTGGGTGACCAAACTCTGAGAACACGAAGCAGTAAGAAAGCAACAGAGAAAGTAACAGCAATAGCACTTAAGACTTATATACCGCTTCACAATGCTTTACCGCCCTCTCTAAGCAGTTTTACAGAGTCAGCCCTCTTGCCCCCCAACAATCTGGGTCCTCATTTTACCGACCTCAGAAGGATAGAAGGCTGATTCAACCTGGAGCCGGTCAGGATCGAACTCCTGGCAGTGGGCACAGTCAGCCTGCAATACTGCATTCTAGCCACTGTGCCATCAGGAAGGAGAATGAAAAGGGGAGAAGAGAGGGAGGGAGGGAAGGAAGGAAGGAACAGCAATAGCACTTAAACTTATATACCACTTCACAATGCTTTACCGCCCTCTCTAAGCAGTTTTACAGAGTCAGCCTCTTGCCCCCCAACAATCTGGGTCCTCATTTTACCGACCTCAGAAGGATGGGAAGGCTGAATCAACCTGAAGCCGGTCAGGATCGAACTCCTGGCAGTGGGCACAGTCAGCCTGCAATACCGCATTCTAACCACTGTGCCACCAGGAAGGAGAATGAGAAAGGGAAGAAGAGAGGGAGGGAGGGAGGGAGGGAGGGAGGGAGGGAGGGAGGGAAGGAAGGAAGGAAGGAATAGCAATAGCACTTAAACTTATATACCACTTCACAATGCTTTACCGCCCCCTCTAAGCAGTTTTACAGTCAGCCTCTTGCCCCCAACAATCTGGGTCCTTATTTTACCGACCTCAGAAGGATAGAAGGCTGAATCAACCTGAAGCCGGTCAGGATCGAACTCCTGGCAGTGGGCAGAGTCAGCCTCCAATACCATATTCTAACCACTGTGCACCATCACGAAGGAGAATGAGAAAGGGAGGGAGGGAGGGAGGGAGGGAGGAAGGAAGAGCAATAGCAGTTAAGACTTGAACAGGTCAGAATTGAACTGTTGGCAGTCAGCAGAATTAGCCTGCATTCTAACCACTGCGCCACCATGGTTCTTTATGGATAGATAGATATTATGATCTGTAGAACGGGCCTTTTTATTCTGCCGATTTAGACAGCTGGAGAATGCTTACCTGTGGCAAAGGTGAGAAGAGATAACCAATGGCAATAATCACCAAGAAAACCATGATTGAGGACAGGGTCCCTGCAATCTGAACATAAACCAGATAAACATTTTAGTAAGAAAACAAACTAGGATGGTTCAGCTTGACGGATGGATTTCTACTGATAAATCTGATAATTCTCAGTATTAATCCCACATAAGAGTAGTCCTCGAATTACGACCACAATTGAGCCCAACATTTCGGTTGCTATTCGAGACGGTTGTTGATTTTTGCCTCATTTTACGACCACTCTGGCCACAGCCGTTGAGTAAATCACCGCAGTTGTCAAGTGAGTGACACAATTGTTAGTGAATCCTGGCCTTCCCCATCGATTTGGCTTCTCTGAAGGTCGCAAAAGGGGATCACATGACCCTGGGACACTGCAACCGTCATAAATATGAATCTGTTGCCGAGCATGTTAAGTCTGATCGTGTGACCATGGGGATGCCACAACGGCCATCGGTGTGCGCGGAGAGTCTGGGAGGGCAAAAAATAGGCCTACCGGAGGTTCCGAAAGTCTTGAAACGGCCTGTTTCTGGCCTCCAGAGGGCCTCTGGATCCTGGTGGAAGTTACTTTTGTCCTCCTGGAGGCTCAAGGAAAGCCTCCGGAGCCTGGGGAGGGCAAAAAACGGGCCTCACGTAAGTCCAGAAACGGGCCTGTTTCCGGCCTCCGGAGGGGCTCCGGACCCTGGGGTAGCAGTTTTCGCTCTCCCGGAGGCTCAAGAAAAGTCTCTGGAGCCTGGGGAGGGTGAAAAACAGTGTGTGTGTGTCCCGTCCCCTGCCGTGTTGCAGGCGGCCAACTAGGCAACACCCACCATGGCCACGCCCACCCAGCAACCAGGCAGAGAACCCGTTACTAAAGGATCTGAAGCCCACCCCTGCAGTCAGCTGAGAATAAACATGAACCTCAGGAGGACTTATTTTGAAGCCCTTCCTAAAAGGTTTCAGCAGACGTTACCTGTATCATAGCCACCTTCTGAAGGTGAGGAAGGTCCGACTTGGAGTTAAAGGACATTTCAGCTTAAGAGTCCATTGGAGGAGGAAATATTTGAAGTCAAACCCTTAAGTCTATTATCTGCCCTTTCCCCAAGGGAAAACAAGACAGTCCGGTGAGATTCCTGTAAACTGGCAATCGGCAATAAAGAAACCGATTAGACCGATTAATGGAGGTGTTTTGGCTGCTTGTACCTGGCGTTACTCAACCTAATGAGGATAAGAGGATACCTTTTAATGGGCCAACTCCATGCCCTGCCTTACTCTCCTTAACCAAAGGGAAAGATGTCAGATAAAAGTAGGAATTTTTCACACCTGTGTCTTCCCACCTGTGCCTTCCTGAACAAGGCTCCGAGACATCGAGCAGGTGATAGCAAACGTCTGGAAAAAGGATCCGGTGGAATTGCAGATGCCTAACGCGATGAGTTCCTGGGATAACATAAAGAGGAGGAGAAAAGAATACACAACAAATACTGTAAGGGAAAGTCACATAGCACTATGGATGAAGCTTAATTTCCAAATGAAGGGAAGAGAAGGAGAAGGAGAAGGAGAAGAAAGAGAAGGAGGAGGAGAAGGAGAAGAGAAAGAGAAGAGAAGACCAGGGGTTTCAAACTCAAGACCCACAGCCGCATCCAGCCTGCAGGGTGCTTATATGTAGCTCGCGGGACCACCCTGGAAATAACGAAGGATTGGCCTGCGCTGCCTCTGCCAGCCAAAATGGGACTCCGGAGGATCGCAGGCAGCCATCCTGAGCTCCGTTTTCATTGGCAGAGGTTTGCAGGAGGCCGTTGCAGCCGGAAACAGAGTTTTAGCTGGCAGAGTGCTCAGGCCACCACAGGTGCCCCCGACACGAGTGACGTCGAACTGGCCACGCCCACCCTGGCAACACCCACATCAGGCCTCCGAGGGCAAACACAACTCTGATGCGGCCCTCAATGAAATCAAGTCTGACATCCTGGGAATATAGAATAGAATAGAATAGAATAGAATAGAATAGAATAGAATAGAATAGAATAGAATAGAATAGAATAGAATAGAATAGAATATAGAATATAGAATATAGAATAAAATAGAATAGAAAATATGGAATGGAATGGAATGGAATAGAAAATGTGGAATGGAATAGAAAATATGGAATGGAATGGAATAGAATAGAAAATATGGAATGGAATGGAATAGAATAGAATAGAATAGAAAATAGAAAAGAATAGAATATAGAAAAGAATAGAAAATAAAATAGAAAATAATAGAATATAGAATAGAATAGAATAGAAAATATGGAATGGAATGGAATGGAATGGAATGGAATAGAATAGAACAGAACAGAAAAGAAAAGAAAAGAAAAGAAAAATAGAATAGAATAGAATAGAATAGAATAGAATAGAATAGAATAGAATAGAATAGAATAGAATAGGAGTAGAATAGGAGTAGAATAGTAGAAGAACAGGGAATGGAATGGAGTAGAAAATATGGAATGGAATGGAAGCCCATTTTATTGACCACAGAGTTTTATCCAGGTCATGAGGATCAAAGGCTAGGTTACAATTGTGTCACCTGATTTCCATTCACCGTGTAGCCATGCTTCAGAGCGAAGATTTTGGCCATGGAGATGGTCATGGAAAACCCAACAAGAGCGATAGCGATGGCATCGACAAACACAGCCGGGATGAGGCTGACATCAGGAATTTGAGGAGGGATTAACCTGTAAGAAGCAATCAGAAAAAAAAAGTTATAGTAAATTTGGAGGCTCTAAGAATACAGGTAGCCCTTGACTTACCATCATTGGTTGAGTGACCGTTCAGAATCACGAAGGAAGTGAGAAATGTGACTTATGACTGGTTTTCACCTCTATGACCATTGCAGCATCCCCGTAGTCACCTGATCAAAATTCGAATGCTTGGCAACTGGCATGTACTTATGACGGTTGGAAGTCCTGGCGTCATGTGATCCCGTTTTGCAACCTTCTGACAAGCCAAGTCAACGGGGAAGCCAGATTCACTTAACAACCGTGTTAGTAACTTAACCACTGCAGTGATTCGCTTAGCAACGGTGGCAAGGAAGGTCGTAAAATGGAGCAAAACTCACTTAACAACGGTCTTGTTTAGCAATTGGAAATTTGGGACTCCATTGTGGTCGTAAGTCGAGGAGTACCTATAATACACCCCCCTCCCCTCGACCATATATTTTAGGCTTACCCGCTAGGAATGTTCCCGACAATATCGACGTCGTAAGTCTTGGACAGATTCATTCCAGCTGAAACTCCAGTGCCGATGACCACCTTAAAACAGACACAAAACAAAACGTTTAAGAGGTCAAAGGGAAGAATTTCAGAAGAATAATCAACTTGCTTAGAATAGAATAACTTTTATTGTCACATTAAATGTACACTAATCGGCATACATTAAAATGAAATTTCGTTGCATATAGTTCTCAAAACTCCAACATACACAACATAAACATGATAAAAAAAAAATATGCATATACCCACATATATCCTGTGACGCAGAGAAAGAACAGCAGTCTAGTTCGGATGTATACATGGGTTTTTTGTTTGTTTGTTTCAAGTTTTTTTATTTTATTTTATATATATGCATCAATGCATGAACAGTGGGTGTTGTACATTCTAATACAAATAAAACTAGTAATTAATCATAATTATTACATTCAACCAACTTATATATTTCTAATAATACACATTTATATTAAGTTGCAATCTGTCATTTTTCAATTATTCCACGTTTTCTCGTTATTGCTTTTATTTTATTATATAAAAATGTATACACTAATATTCCCCCTTTCTCTTATTTCTATCTCTTATTCTAGCTTTTAATCATGTCACCCTTTATTAAAAAGCATATTCTTTCTATCCTACCTAACTTCTAGTCATCTCACCTACCTAAAAAAGAAGAGAGAGAGAAAAAGAAAAGCAAATCGGAACAACAACAACAAAAAAAGAGGAATCATCTATCCATCGTCTCTTGCCCGCTTCAATATTTTAATTGCTATGCTTTTTTTGGGGGGGGGGGACTTGTCTCCCATATTCCTCTCTGTCTGCATCTACTTCTTGGCTGTTCAATTTTGGTAATTCTCTAACCTCTTCCACTGCCTAGTTTCCACAATTTCTAGCCAACGTATGTATACATGTTCATGGTGAAAAAATAATAATCTTGCAAGTTTACTGGATGGATGGCATAAAGACCAAAGCTGTTGCTGAATGTAGTAGTCCTGCTATAGATACTTCAAAACCCCCTCCCAGAGGGGAGCAACAGAAACATGTGTGTGGGGTCTCTAACAAGGTCTTGAGCTCTAAGCACATAGCGCTTATAAGTAGCATCCTGAATAACAGGAAGCAAGTTTACTATATTCTATCTATCTATCTATCTATCTATCTATCTATCTATCTATCTATCTACCTACCTACCTACCTACCTACCTACCTACCTACCTACCTACCTACAAAAATGGCTGTGTGTGTGTGTGTTCCAGCATAACTCTGGAACGTCTTGAGCAATTTCAACCAAACTTGGTACACAGATGACTTACTATCTGGAAAAAAATACTGTGGGGGTAAGACACCCCTAGTACCCCTCGGTGTGTGTGTGTGTGTGCGTGTGTGTGTGTGTGTGTTGCAGCATAACTCTGGAACGCCTGGGCCGCCGAAATTAAAAAAGAATGAATTATATCTATAGTGTCAAATCACAGTACTTTTGACAGGGATAGTGTGCATTTTGGATTCAAGTTCTGTTAAGATACAGCCTATTGTGCCTTAAAATGGCTTCTACTGTACAGCATGGTGGAGTTGCCATGGTAACCGCTTCACAGTACTCCACAAGGGGGCTACCTCTGGTAAGGGGGATTGGTTCTTAAAAACAAACAAACACCCTAGGCCCTCAGCTTCAAGCAAAGAGGGCAAGTTGTTGGGGGAGGTGCCTGCTAATGCAAATAATCACCTCAAAGCTGTTCCCCCATAGAATTTTTCCCAGGCTGTTGGCCAGGGCAACTAGGTCTCAAATTCTCACCACAGTGGTTGAGGCAGCTGCATACAATACAGGATTGGGATAAATAAATACCTGGGCAACGCCAGGTTATCAGCTAGTTCTATAATAAAAAAAGAGAGAGAAGGAACCCTGTTTTTATCTTTATCTTCTAACCAAGACGAGAAGCAAACTAGAACTAAGGAGAACCTTCCTAACAGTGAGAGCCCAGAAACTGTGGGTGCTCCATCACTGGAGGCTTTTCAAAAGAGACTGGACAACCATTTATCCAAACTGGTATAGGGTCTACTGGCTGGAACAGGTGGTCGGACTAGATAGAAGCCCTCCGAAGTCCCTACCAACTCTTGGTATTCTATGTTCTGCGTTCTGGGTGAATGGTTCCGCTATGAGTTGAAGACTTACCACAATGATCTCCAGGGGAATTGGAACCACCAACTTCTTCTTAAAACGGTCGTTGATTTCTTTGCCGCTCAGTAGCAGGACGATGCAGATGAGCCCAACCACTAAAGTGGCCGTGTTGGTTTTGGTGATGTTGGAAAACACCGCAATCAAACTCTGGAAGGCAAGAAAGATAAACAATTCGGGATTCTTGTGAGGGCTATCGGATGCTTTGGATGGGGTCCACGGAAGAAACTTATCCGTGGTCTGAGAAAACCATCACATTATTCTGGGATTGCAACAGGAGCCATCTTCCAAAAGTTCTGATGTTCTGACAACTCCCATATTCCCTGAGGACTGATTGTGTGGTCCAAAGCCAGGAGGAAGCAAAGGGCCAAACAACTAAAGTCTATCATCTTTTCAAGTCACATTGGCTAGGAATAGCCTAGTAAGTGAAGCATCCTATTATAGATACAGCCAGTTTGGTCTAGTGGTTTGAGGCGCCAGTCTTGAAATGAAAGCAGGAGGTTGGGAGTTCAAGTCCTGCCTTAGCCATGAAAACCAACTGGGCCAGTCATTCTCTCTCAGCCCAGCCCTCCTCAGAGAGTGGGGAAAATTGGAGGAAGAAGGTGTCATGGACAAGTTCACCTCGAGTTATATGGAAAAATAATAACAGAATAATAGAGTTAGTAGGGACTTTGGAGGTCTTCTAGTTTAACCTCCTGCTCAACCCGGTGATCCTATATACCATTTCAGACAAACGGTTGTCCGGCTTCTTCTTAAAAACTTCCAGTGTTGGAGCCTTCACAACTTCTGGAGGCAAGTTGTTCCACTGTTGTTCTGTCAGGAAGTTTCTCCTTAGTTCTAGGTTGCTTCTCTCCTTGATTAGTTTCCACCCATTGCTTCTTGTCCTGCCCTCAGGTGCTTTGGAGAATAGGTTGACCCCCTCTTCTTTGTGGCAACCCCTGAGATATTGGAACGCTGCTATCATGTCTCTCCAGTCCTTCTTTTCATTTAATTAGAGATACTCAATTCTTGCAACTGATAGGATGGATGGATGGATGGATGGATGGATGGATAGATACAGTATATTACACAGTTGCCAGCAGTTTAAACATTAATGGATGTGTATTGTCTTATTTTGAGGGGACAGCACATTTACACTGTTATACAAGCTGTATACTCACTACTTTACATTGTAGCCAAGTGTCATTTCTTCAGTGTTGTCACATGAAAAGATATACTTAAATATTTACAAAATGTATCACTTCTGTGATACATGATACACTTCAGATAGAGACAGATAGATGATAGATAGATGATAGATGATAGAGACAGATAGATATAGATGGTAGATAGACAAACAGACAGATCGATAGATGATAGATAAATGATAGAGACAGATAGATAATGATAGATAGATAGACAGATATAGATAGATAGATAGATAGATAGATAGATAGATAGATAGATAGATAGATGATAGAGACAGACAGATAGATAGATGATAGATAGATGGTAGATAGATAGTTTGATAGATAAATAGATAGATAGATAGATAGATGATAGAGGCAACAGACAGACAGACACACAGACAGACAGGATATATAAAATGAGGTGAGATGAGATGAGGTGAGATGAGATGAGGTGAGAAGAGAAAGATAAAAATTAAGATAAGATGATAAGATAGGCAGAGACAAAGAGAAACAGTGATAGATAAATAGGCAGGCAAGCAGGCAGGCATACATACATACATGCATACATACATACATATATTCAGACAGATAGATAGGAGAGATAGATAGACAGGATAGATAAGATGAGATGAGGTGAGGTGAGGTGAGGAAGATAAAAATTAAGATAAGATGATAAGATAGGCAGAGACAGACAGACACAGTGATAGATAAATGGCCAGGCATACAGACAGCTATATATATATATATATATATATATATAAAATTCCTTTAAAATTTTAAGTTCCGGAGCTCGCAGAATGTCTGCTTCTTTCTTTACTAATATACCTGGAACTCGTATTTTTAGAATAGTTAGATAGATAGATAGATAGATAGATAGATAGATAGATAGATAGATAGATAGATAGATAATAATCAGACAGACATGGATAGATGTATAGACAGAGGGCTTATACTTACATAAAGAACAGAGAGGGGGCCACTGAATCGTTTGATATTGATCCCAAGCAGGTACTTCAGCTGAGAAGTGAAGACGTGCACAGCTGCTGCAGTGGTGAATCCGCGTACCAGGGGCTCCGTGAGGTAAATGGCTACAAATCCAAAACGAAGCAGTCCTAAACACAACTGATAGGAAAAGAACCCACGTTCTAGCAACAGTCACTGTCATCACTTTTGATTTTTAAACAAGTTCCTAGGAGCGTGCTTCCCCCCCCCCCCACCACCACAATTTTCCCCCACCCCACAAAAATAAGCAGTCACAGAGTACAAGACATTCTGTGAAAATATTTGATTAATGAAAATCACAGCCAAGAGTGATCACTGTTGCATATATATATATTTTTGTTCTTCTCTGTGACTTTCTCCACATGGCCTATTGTGTAATGTAAGCAAATCTGTCCAATTCAAACGGAAAATTAAGTTATTTTTTTGGGCATAAAATGCCAGGTAAATTAAGAGATTTCTGTTGCCATAACAAATGCAAAGTACAATGTCTATAACATTGATGGGGTTTGATTATTTTAATGAGTTTTAACGTACGTTTAATTTGTATTTTAATATGTTTTTATCTGGTTTGATTTTAGTTGTTGTGAGCTGCCCCGAGTCCTATGGAGATAGGGCGGCATACAAATCAAATTAAATAAATCAAATTAAATAAATCAATAGATGGGCCACACTTTTGTCATACTCCACATCTGTGTCTCACACCACCTACCATTTTTGGGGGGGTCGTTTAATGACCCCGTAATCACCTTGCGGGGTGGAGTTGGGGCAACTGAACGGAGCTCAGCATTTACTGGCCGGATGCCCTTCCTGTTGCCACAGCAGAGTTTTGTTCAGATATATTCTCAGTGTGCCCAGAGAGAGAAATATCTGCCTCTATGTAGGATCGAACTCACAGCCTCCTGATTGTGAGGCAAGAGCTCCACCTCTAGGCCACCGCACCACTCGTACCATCACAAAAACACTGATGGACTTGACCGAAGAGAATATTTGCAGCTCGCGGTTGAATTGTAGGGGTCCTTGGTGCTCTCCTTGATCATTTTCTTGTAGACGTTTCATTACCAAACCAGGTTACAGCATCAGGGAAACGCCTGCCGGAAAACCACCGAGCTCAGAGAGCACCAAGGTACTCCACATTTGATGGAAGATAATATTCAGCCTCATCTTGAATTGCAAAAAAAGATCAGGGAAATCGGATTTTTGACTTAGCGGGAAGCAGTAGCTAAAATCTGCTTCTGAATCCAGCTCTTGCACCCCCTTACCTGTATGATACCTGAGAGCAAAGTGACCGCCACGGCTACTTTCACCCGCATGGCATCTCTGGCGTCGGTCCCATTAGTTGAGTTGGTGTCCGCCATCTCAAACAATTCATCGGGAACTTCTCTCACTGCCACTCCGCCAATCATCAGGCTGATGACAGCAAAGGTTCCTGCGAGAGGGTGAGGTTGGAGAAGTCGGTTTTACCGGTAGTCCTCGACGTACGACCACAACGGAGCCACAAATTTCTGCTGCTAAGCGAGACGTTTCAGCGAGTTTTGCCTCATTTTACAACCTTTCTTCCTATATTTATTAAGTAAATCCTACAGTCGTTCAAGTAGTAATAGGGTTGTTCCAATCACACTTTCCTCATTGACTTTGCTGGTCAGAAGGTCGTAAAAGGGAATCAAGTGACCCTCCCGGGACACTGCGACCGTCATAAATATGAGCCAGTTGCCAAACGCCTGAATTTTGAATCGCAGGATCATGGGGGATGCTACAACAATCCTAAGTGTGAAAAACTGTCATAAGTCACTTTTTTTTCAGTGCCACTGTAACTTTGAATGGTCACTAAATGAACCATCATAAGTAGAGGATTACCTGTATTACCAACAACATCAATACATGTAAAAGAAACTGCTTGAATTTTTTTTATAAAATAAAATAAAATAAAATAAAATAAAATAATATATTGTTGGAACTTAATATCTGAAAAATTGTCAAAGAGGTCTTACGAATGTATGCTGTAGATAGATAGGTAGTCCTCGACTTACAACAGTTCATTTAGTGACCGCTCGAGGTTACACCCCTGAAAAAAGTAATTTATGACCGCTATTCACACTTAACGACTGTTGCAGCATCCTCACGATCACGTGATTAAAACTCAGCCGCTTGGCAACTGACTCGTATTTATGACGGTCGCAGCATGATCCCCTTTTACGGCCTTCTGACGAGCAAAGTCAACGGGGAAACCAGATTCACTTAACAACCGGGTTACTAACTTAACACCCGCAGTGATTCGCTTAACATCTGTGGCAAGAAAGGTCACAAAACGGGGCAAAATAGCTTCAACTTAAAATTCATTTCATAGCTGTCTCGCTTCGCGACAGAAATGTTAGGCTCAACAGTGGTCGTAAGTCGAGGACTACCTGTGTGGATAATTTTGACTTGGGTAACAAAGATAGTCCGCTTTAAAAAAGGTGGAGAGGATTTCAAACAACTATATTTTCAAGAGCAAAAGTCATATAAGCCGGTATTTCTCAACCATGGCGACTTGACAATGTGTGGACTTCAACTCCCAGAATTCCTCAGCCAGCGTTGCACATCATCTCCCCCTTACTGGCTGGGGAATTCTGGGAGTTGAAGTCCACACATCTTGAAGTTGCCAAGATTCAGAAACACTGATCTAAACTACAAAAAAACCCATCAAATAAATCCATTAAAAGAGATTACCTATTGATATATGTCTGGAAGTTCCAAAAAAGGTATACAGAAAGACCGGATAAAATGAAGAATACAGGCCAAACACTGGAGGAACGGCAGCCAGCGATGCATACGCTAATCCTGAGGGAAACATTAGAGAAAAAATAAAAATAAGAGAGATGCACGTAAGATTCCCTATCAAATTATTAGAAGACTAGTCAATGAAGAATAGTTAAGACCATGGGTGGGCAAATGTGGCCCTTTTTCAACCTGTGGACTTCAACTCCCAGAATTCAGCTTGGCTGTCTCAGGAATTCTGGGAGTTGAAGTCCACAGGTTGTAAAAGGGCCATATTTGCCCACCCCTGGTTAAGACGGTTGTTAATTGATCAGTGATTTTTTTTTCACCCCAATTCAATTTTCGGTCAGCAATTTGTTTGAAAGGAAGGTTAGTTAGGAAAGGAAGGTTAGATTCCTCCCGATTAAATTATCAGGGCAGGTAGTCCTCGATTTACAACTATTCGCTTAGTGACCGTTTGAACGGTACCCAAGAAAATGACATGAACTGTTTTCCACACTTACGACCGCTGCGGCAGGATCAAAATTCAGACGCTTGGCAGCTGACTCAGATTTATGACGGTTGTAGTCCTGGGGTCATGTGATCACCTTTTGCGACAAGCCAATGAGGAAGCCAGATTCACTTAACAGCCACGTTAACTAATTTAACAACTGCATTGATTCACTTAACAACGGTGGCAAGAAGAGTTGCAAAATGAGGCAAAACTCACTTGCCTTGCTTAGCAGCAAGAAATTTTGGGCTCAACTGTTGTCGTATGTCGAGGACTACATGTATGATCTACACCCAGAAATTCTCTTTGGCCTTGGATGTCAATCGTTGAGAATCAACCAGTACTTTTTAAAGAGATGAAGGGCTGAACTTTTTCCCAGAGCTTCCGGGGGTTAAAAATATATTTTAAGATGTAAAAGATGCTCTTATAAAACATTCTCTCAATCCCTCCGTTTCTTTTCCAAACTTTGGACAGGAATGATCGACGGATTTTGCAAACTAATCTATAGAACAGTGAAAGATCAGTTGCTGAAATTATGATGTAGAGATAGTCCTCGACATACAACGGTTTGTTTAGTGACCGTTTAAAGTCACAACACGGGAACAACTGACCTAAGACTGCTTTTCACACAACCATTGTAGCCAACCCCATGGTCACGTGATCGAAATTCAGACACTTGGCAACTGACTCATATTTATGACGGTGGCAGTGTCCCGGGGGGGTCACGAGATCCCCTTTTGCGACCTTCTGATATTCGACGGGGAAGATTCACTTAACAACCGGGTTACTAAATTAACTGCAGCGATTCACTTAATAACCATGGCAAGAAAAGGTGTAAAACGGGGCAAAACTCACTCAGTGATAGAAATTTTGGGGCTCTCTTGTGGTCGTAAGTCGAGGACCACCTGAACTGTAGATAATATGTAGACAGTTACTTAAACAAGAGTGGGAAATCTATTACACTAAGGTTCCTATTTAACCCCAGCCAGAAATTTTGTTTGATAATCAAGAATTGTAACCTGGCCAATTATGAAAGAATATCTGCAGCAAGTCACAGACAAAAAAAATATCATTTAGGGCCATGATGGTGAATTTATGGCATGCATGCCACAGGTGGCACACACAGCCCTCTCTGCGGGCACGCCAGCTGTTGCCACAGCCCAGCTCCACTGCGCATGCACGCACGCCTCCCGCCGGCCAGCTGGTCTTTGGGTCTCTGCCGTGCATGCACGGGGGCCTGGGCGCATCGGGGGACACGCGCATGCATGCGCGGGGGGTGGTGTGCATGCACGGGGGGGGGGGTAAGTTGGTACAGGTGGCTTTCCAGGCCCAAAATGGGGTGCGGGGATGCCTCAGGCAGCCCCCCCCCCCCCCCCGGTGCCCCAGGTTGGTGCAGGAGGCTTTCCAGGCCCAAAATAGGGTGGTGGTGGGGAGGTAGCTAGGACTCGATGGGGTAGAAACTGCAACGATCAGAGAAGGCACGGAAGGCAGGAGGCAGCTAGGACTCGATGAGGGAAAAACTGTGGAGATCGCATCCTAGTTTTCTCCTGCATTCCTGCTTTTCCAATCTTTGCAGTTTCTCCCTCATCAAATCCTAGTTGCCTCCTGCCTTCCACGATCTCCAAAGTTTCTCCGCCCCCGTGCCCCATTTGGGCCTGGAAAGCCTCCTGCACCAACCTGGAAGCCAAAATGGAGCACAGGGAGGGCGGGACACATGCGCAGGGGGGGTGCATGCACAGGGGACGCACACACATGTGTGGGGGTGGGACGCATGCCAGCGGGGTGCTCGCATTTTGGGGGGTCTGGCACGCATGTGTGCATTCGCGCACGCATTTTGGGCGCTTGGCACCAAAAAGGTTAACCATCACTGATTTAGGGTGTGAAAGGTTTTGTTTTTCAAAGTTAACATTCTACTAACCTTGAGGCAGCTGCATGACTCCCGTACTGATCCCCGAGATGACGTCTCCCATCAAATATTCTCTCACGGGATATTGAGGAAGCCAGGTTAAAATCGGGAAAAAACTATAAAGGACAGATTTGGCTTTCTTGGAAGAACAGCTGAAAACATCCAAAGCAAAAAAAAAAACAAAAAACATGTCATCAGTCAAAAGACACGAAGATGATGTCTTGGGCCAAAAGAAAAATTCATTTATTTAATTATTATTTATTGGTTCGATTTATATGCCGCCCTTCTCCGGAAACTCAAGGCGGCTTACAATGCGTTAAGCAATAGCCTTCAGACTTTTGTATATACCTGCTTAGTAGGGCTTTCGCCTCCCCAAGCGGTGTTCTTTTTTATACAAAGTCAGCTTATTGCCCCCACAATCCGGGTCCTCATTTTACCTACCTCGGAAGGATGGAAGGCTGAGTCAACCTTGAGCCTGGTGTGATTCGAACTTGCAGTAATTGCAGGCAGCTGGTGCTAATTAACAGCACTTTAGTCTGCTGCGCCACCAAGGCTCATTGTAGGAAATACATTTGCCCCTACCACAGATACAGGTAGTCCTTCAATTACGACCACAATTGAACCCAACATTTATGTTGCTAAGTGAGAAACCTGTTCAGGGAGTTTTACGATTTTTCTTGCCACGTTTGTATAAGCGAACCCTTGCAGTTGTTAAATTAGCACGACGGCTGTTAAGTGAATCAATGCATTTGTTAAATTAGTCCCACGGTTGTTAAGTGAATCTGGTTTTCTGCGCTGACTTGGCTTGTTACAAGGTCGCCAAAGGTGAACACGTGACCCCGGGGACGCTGCAACCATCATAAATGTGAGTCAGTTATCAAGCATCCAAATGCAAATCATGTGACTGTGAGGGAATGCTGCAGACGGTCGTAAGTGTGGAAAACGGTCTTAAATCACTTTTTCCAGTGCCGTTGTAACTTTGAACGGTCACTAAGCAGAGTGTTGTAAGTTGAGGATCACCTGTATAATGATTTGAGTAAGCTAATCATGGCATTTATAAAAGAAACCAGGCACATTAATCGAGGTGTAAATCCAATTAAATAACGGCCATAGTTACTCCCACGTTTACTGCTGTCCACCTGTTCGCATATGGAAGCAAAATTCCAATTTTCTGGAATTACAGTGAAAGTATATTAGCACAGCTAGTCCTCGACTTACAACCAATACCAGGCCCAAAATTTCCATTGCTAAACCAAGCGGTTGTTAAATGAGTCCCGAGCCATTTTATGACCTTGCTTTCCACAAGGGGTTAAGCAAATCGCTGTACTGGGGGATCACATGACCCCAGGACACTGCGATCGTCATAAATACATGTCCCTTGCCCAGCATTTTGATCACGCAACCGTCGTAAAGGTGAAAACTGGTCATAACTCTTTTCCCTGCCGTTGTAACTTTGAATGGTCACTAAACGAATCATTGTAAGTTGAGGACTACTTGTATTGGAACACTCACACATGGAAACAAGACACCAATTTTGGCATTTAAATTAAAATAGTATTAATATAAGGTAGATATATGGAAGGGTAAAGAAAAATCCAAGATGGCAGCTGCACTCACATGATCAAAGCTGTTACCTTGAATTTTTCATGTTCATCATTCTCCTTTTAACATCCCATAATCCCTTGCGGGGTGGAGTCTGGGCAACTGAATGGAGCTAGCAGAGTGTTTGAATGGCCAGATGCTCTTCCTGTTGCCAGGGCGGAGTTTTGTTCAGCAGATATATTCTCATTGCGTCGAGAGAGAAAAATATCTGTCTCTACCTAGGATCGAACTCACAGCCTCCTGATTGTGAGGCGAGAGGTCCACCTCTAGGCCACCGCACCACACCCTTTTAATATAATTTTTTGAATTTTTCATGTTCCAACTGCATCAACATCCTAGCAAATTAATGTAATTATATACTGCTAGCATTATACTGGAAAGTGCAGACGATGAACTCTTCCCTCAGTTTCCCACAGCAACCACCTTTGCTGGATTAGACTACTTCCTGTGAAAGTCAACACAGGCAAATCCTCGATTTACGACCGCAACGGAGCCCAAAATTTCTGTTGCTAAGCCAGACCGTTGTTGAGTTTTTTTAAAGACTTTTCTTGCCACAGTGGCTAAGTGAATCGCTGCCATAGTTAAATTAGCAACGCGAGTTGTTAAGTGAATCCTGCTTCCCTATTGACTTTTGCTTGTCAGGTGGTCACAAAAGGGGAACAGGTCATCCTGATACACTGCAACAGTCATAAATATTGAAGTCAGCTGCCAAGCGTCTGAATTTTGATCAGGTGACATGGGGATGCGACGGTTGTTAAGTGTGAAAAACGGTCATAACTCACTGTTGTATCTTCAAACGGTTACTAAACAACTTGCCGTAAGTTGAGGACTACCTGAACTGGATCCGAAAGATGGCCAGCTCGTAAATTTAATGAAATCAAGGAGATTTCGTGTCTTACCGGAGAGCATGTGCTATCTTCTGACGAAGAGGCTGAATTTTTTTGTCCTTCGTATTCAGCTGCTCGTGAAGGAACCCTTGGCTATATACTGGTCTCTCCACATGATACATGTGTGATGTCGCGGGCCGCGTTTCATATTCTCCAGCATGTTCCATAGTACATATTCTATAAACGGGAAGACGGGAGAGGCGTTCCTTCAGGCTGCTACCAAAGGACGGTTTTATAAAAAGATTAGCACGAAGTGTTTCTTTCTACTTGAGGAAAACCACAGAGGAAAGCTTCCTGATCCGGACTTCGGCCACGTTTCCCTCGACGAAAAGTACTGAAAGAAAGAAAAAAGAGCAGGAACGAGTAAATTAGCGAATCATCCTTCCTCTGAACACTTTTTGTAAAGTGTACATTTACTTTAGAGAAAATTACAGGTAGGCCTTGACTTACAACGGTTGATTTAGTGACCGTTGGAAGTTACAATGGCACTGAAGAGAGTGACTTGGGACAGTTTTTCACGTTTATGATCCTTACGGTCCCGTGATCAAAACTCAGACGGTTGGCCACTGACTCGTATTTATGACGGCTGCACTGTCCTATGATCTTCTTTTGTGACTTTCCGACAAGCAAAATCAATACGGAAGCCAGGTTCAAGTTACAATCGTGTTACTTAAGTTAACAACTGCAGGGATTCAATTGAACAATGGTGGACAGAAAGGTTGTGAAACAGGGCCAAAATCCACTTAACAACGGCCTCACTTAGCAACAGAGGTTTTGAGCTCCGATGTGCTCGTAAGTCAAGGACTCCCTGCAAAGCTGCTCTGAATTTCAAGTTTCTCTGCGGGCTAAAAGGAAAACCTGAACGATACAAAAAAAAAGTTGCTCAGGGCATCGCTTCTATCGACCAGCAAACGGGAGACAAATAGACTCTACAAAAAAAAAAAAAAAAAAAAAAAGGAATATCACAGGCTACGTCCGTGCTCAGTGCAGGTTCAGCACTAGCGTTTCAAACGCAGAATACAAAAAAATTGCAAATGGCTGCCCAGTCTCAAAACCCCCCCAATGATGGAGATTCTCAACCATCCAGGCCATGGTTTTCCCAAAGACGCTGTTCTGACCTGAGACAGTAAAAAGCACACGATTAGTCCCAAAAACCCTCTTTTTATTTCAACGGCTGTGAATTCTGTTCATTCACAGCCCGTAACGAGTCACAAACAATTGGTAAAGAGTCCGACAGAAGTCTACCACAGTCCTTCGGGTTAAGGCTAATAAACACCCACCTTTATCTGCCTTGACACGCTGCCAAAGACCTAACTGGCAATTAGCTTTGCATGGAGCACAGAGTCAAAACAGAGCTTCAGAATTTAAACCGACCAGAATGAACAAAGTTGCTTCCTGCAAAGGCTCACGTGCCTTTGCTCCTCCTTTATGTCTTATGAGAGCGGCCAATCATCTCTAACTCTTACTCCAGAGTCGTCCCTTTTGTCTTAACAGTTCTTGCCTTCTGGCAGCTCTGCGTATGCGCGCACTGGGAACAGGCTCCCCGTTCCTCTGCCTCGCTGACGTCAGACTCTGGAGGCTCCGAAGTCAGCACATCACTCCCAGATGGCCCTGGCTCCATCTCTGCCTCCGATGCAGAGCCCTCGTCCGAGCCTTCCCCAGACTCCAGGACTGGCCCATGTTCCTCTCCAGACTCCTCACTGTCCGACTCTGCTGCCAGCTCCACAGGCTGCCTGCGGACCACAACAGACGCTCTTTTCAAAAGGCAAGTGGACTTTGTTTTTCCTTGAAGACATTTCCCTTCTCATCCAAGAAGCTTCATCAGCTCAGAAACGAGCAGTCGAAACTGATGAAGCTTCTTCATCAGATCTTGGAGAAGCGAAATGTCTTCAACTAGGTGAAACCAGGCTTAATAGCAGGGTGGATAAAAATCAATGATTTTTTTAAAACAATCAAAAAAATCGGATTTTTTTTTCATTTAAATCGGATTTTTTTTTATTTTTATCGAATTTATTTTAATAAAAAACTTTTGGGGTAAAAATCTATCGTAAGGTAGATTTCTATTTAAGATACATAAATAATTTAGTTTATTCAGCATGAAGTGGAGCTTAGTTATGTAGCATGAGGCTGTATATTCTGCAACACTGGGACTATCGGTGAGTCAACAGTGGGTCAAAGGAGTAGCAGAGATGACAGTTGCTCTTTAATAATTCTGATTTAAATCGAGTTGATTTAAATCAAGCCTTTTTATTAGTGATTTAAATCATGATTTAAATTGTGATTTAAATCAACACGATTTAAATCAAATCCACCCTGGTGGTGGCAGCCAAAAGAGCCGATGCAATCCTAAATTGCATTAACAGAGGGATACAATCAAGATCAAGTGAGGTACTAATACCACTCTATAAAGCCTTAGTAAGACCACACCTAGAGTACTGCATCCAGTTTTGGTCACCACGCTATAAAAAAAGATGTTGAGACTCTAGAAAAAGTGCAGAGAAGAGTAACAAATATGATTAGGGGACTGGAGGCTAAAAAATATGAAGAACGGTTGCAGGAACTGGGCATGGCTAGTCTAGTGAAAAGAAAAGACCAGGGGAGACATGATAGCCGTCTTCCAATATTTGAGGGGCTGCCACAGAGAGGAGGGGGTCAAGCTATTTTCCAAAGCACCGAAAGGCCAGACAAGGAATAATGGATGGAAACTGAACAAGGAGAGATTCAACCTCGAAATAAGGAGAAATTTTCTGACAGTGAGAGCAATGAACCCATGGAACAGAAGTTGCCTTTGGAAGTTGTGGGAGCTTCATCACTGGAGGCTTTCAAGAAGAGACTGGACTGCCATCTGTCAGAAATGGTGTAGGGTCTCCTGCTTGGGTGGGGGGGGGCTGGACTAGATGACCTCCAAGGTCCCTTCCACCTCTGTTAATCTGTAAACACGAAGAAAGTGTAGTTGCCTTTTGAAAAAAAGCACTCCAGTGATGGAGCACCTACCACTTCTGAAGTCGCAAGCTGTTCCTGATTGCTTATTTGTGCCTTATGACTATCATTAAGTGTTGTACCTTATGATTCTTGACGAATGTATCTTTTATGTACGCTGAGAACGTATGCACCAAAGACAAATTCCTTGTGTGTCCAATCACACTTGGCCAATAAAGAATTCAATTCAGTTCAGTTCAGTTCAGTTCAATTTAATTCAATTCTTTCTATTTCTATTTCTATTTCTATTTCTTTCTATTATTTCTATTTCTATTTCTATTTCTATTCCACCGAGTAATTGTTCTCATTATCAGGAAATTTCTCCGTTACTTCTTGTCCCTGCCTTCTGGTGCGTTGAAGAATAGATCATTTATCAAAATGTATTTTCATTAAACCTTTGTCCCTGGGTGTCCCAGGATATTATCAATAGGATGGATGTTTACTCAACAACGACAACGAAAAGGTCACCAATATCCTTTATTTTTTAATCACATGCTTCTTATACAGCCAGTTGATTAAACACTGAATATTCTACAATCCACCCAAATGTTCCATGATTCATTTAGATAACTGGCGGCTTTGGTTCTTCCTGAAAGTGGCCAGCTTGTTTTCCTCTAGGAAAATGTAATTTAATTTCTCCACCAGTTTTTTTTCCCCACCCCGTTGTTTCTAGAAACACCAAAGGCCTTATCAAAATGTTCCTTAGGCCGTATAAAATGTTCTTTAGGCCTTATCAAAACCTTTTTTTTTTTTGGCCGATGCCTTGACCAACCCGTTTCATTTTGGCAGCTTCCATAAAGCAGGAGAACTTTTAAATAAAAGTCCTTACCACCCCAAAGCCAACGTACGTTCAAAGGTGGGATTGAGGTTGTGTTACCTAGGAGTTGCCAATAACAAGAGAAGGCAAGAGAAGAACCAATATTTCTGTTGCTTAGGCCGCCAGCTTTTCTCTGGATGAAAATGGGTCATCTTTAGAGAAATTGTAGCTTGCTGGGGTTAATATTGACAGAGAGAAGTTATTCCCCATGGAGTCATTCAAATGTGTTAAGACTTCACTTCCATTATCCCCAGCTCGATGGGCCAAGAGCTAAACTGTTTGCAAGATCAAACAAGTTTAAGTCCGACATACTCAAAGGCACCAGATTTGGGGAAAGTGATCCGGAGTACACTTCTGAAATTCCACTTTATGTCAGGCGTGCAAAATATAGATATGTGTCAAGTCGCAAAGCATCCCTGGCCTGCTCTCGAGTTGCCATAGGCCAGGGGGGGGAGATGGGAAATCGGCGAAATGGCACAGCAGCCAAAGACAGATGCACATTCCACACTTCTCTCTCTCAAGGCTGTATTCCAGGGTTACCTACAGCAGCCGAGGGGAAGCGTGAAATTGCTCCGTTGGCGAATGTGATTGATGGCACGCCCTGCGGGGAGGGGGGAATCATAATTGGAGCGTAAATTACGTAGGGTCAGAGCTGGCTTCACTTGGGAACGTGCCGATATGAAGCTCCTAATAAATAACTGGATTTCTTTTGAAGCTTGGCTCGAGACTCGTTATTTAATTAGGGCATCCGTCGGAACCCTGACAACATGTCCTTATATCATACAGAGAAGGATGTTATAATGGAGCCTTTTTTTGTGAAAGGCAGGAAAATGGAGAAGGGGATTTTCCTGCCTGTCATCCATTCCTCAATCTCAGCACAAACTGAGGGAAGGATGGTAGGCAGGAATATCCCCCTCCCCATTTTCCTGCCATTCGCGACAAGGAGTGGCTGGGAGGGGAGGGACCGGTGAGGAGCCCCTCGATGTGAGTGATGTTGAGTTGGCCATGCCCACCCAGTCACATGACCTCCCCCCCCACAAGACACACCCACAGAACCGGTAGGGGAAATTTTTTAATTTGCTATTAACCATGTTTAGATGGGAATTCACCATCTCAGTTAAGCCAATATATGGAACTCGGCTTACCGGATAACCCTTGTGTTCTCAGGTAACCTGTCTCTACTTCTAGGAAATGAAATAGGATTCAAATATTATGGCACGCAGAGTACCAATTTATGGTACATCAAGTTTCCTTTAACAAGCTGATACATAAATTTTGAAATGATGAGTTTTCAGGAAGCGCATTCTCTGTAAGGTTTTATAGCCGTGTGGTTATTATTCTGTAGAGGTTTTAGCTGGAATCTGCTCACTGTAATTCAATGCCTGTGAAACCAATTCTGATTTCATGTAAAAATATCCAGCGGAGATTTCCCTGCTCTAAGCATGTTTTATGTTTATGAAACATTTTGGGTGCTCAAATACACGTCTACCTGGCCAGATCTGTTCAAATTTGAAATAAAGTTGCTTATTTGTTTGTATCCTGTATTGTTTTTAAATAAGACTACAAACTTATCTGAAAGACACCTTTGTCTTTCTAGTTTTCCCACAACAACCCTGTGAGGTGGGTTGGGCTAAGAGAGAGGAACTGGCCCAAAGTCCATCACCCAGCTGTCTTTCATGGCTAAAGTGGGACTAGAACTCACAGTCTCCTAGTGATTGGTCCGAAGTCACCCAGCTGACTTTCATGACTAAGGCGGGACTAGAACTCATAGTCTCCTGATGATTGGTCCAAAGTCACCCAGCCATCTTTCATGGCTAAGGCAGGACTAGAACTCACAGTCTCCTGATGATTGGCCCAAAGTCACCCAGCCGTCTTTCATGGCTAAGGCGGGACTAGAACTCACAGTCTCCTGGTAAGTGGTCCAAAGTCACCCAGCCGTCTTTCATGGCTAAGGTGGGACTAGAACTCACAGTCTCCTAGTGATTGGTCCAAAGTCACCCAGTGTCTTTCATGGCTAAGGCAGGACTAGAACTCACAGTCTCCTAGTGATTGGTCCAAAGTCACCCAGCCATCTTTCATGGCTAAGGCGGGACTAGAACTCACAGTCTCCTAGTGATTGGTCCAAAGTCACCCAGCCATCTTTCATGGCTAAGGCAGGACTAGAACTCACCGTCTCCTAGTGATTGGTCCGAAGTCACCCAGCCATCTTTCCATGGCTAAGGCGGGACTAGAACTCACAGTCTCCTAGTGATTGGTCCGAAGTCACCCAGCTGTCTTTCATGGCTAAGGTGGGACTACAACTCATGTCCTCCCATTTTCTACTCTGGTGCCTTCACCATTAGACCAAACTGCTTTGAACGTATCTTTTATGTTCTTTTCAACCATTTTCAATCAAAATGACAAAACGAAGTGGCTACTGAGAACCTCAATCTACAAAAAGGATGTCCAAATTTGGCAACTTTAAGACCTGTGGACTTCAACTCCCAGAATTCCCCAACCAGCCATGGTACAACGGCACTGGAAAAAGTGGCTTATGACCTGTTGTTGCACTTATAACTGTCACAGCACGCCCAGAGTCACGGGATCAAAATTCAGGAACTTGGCAAACCCGCATGCATTTACAACGGGTGCAGTGTGCCAAGGCTGTGCAATTGTCATTTGTGATCTTGCCAGCAGGCTTCCGACAAGCAAAGTCAATCGGGGAAGCTGGATCTGCTTAACGATTCACTTAACAACAGCATGATTTTCTGAACAACCCTGAAAATATCTACAGACCCCTCGCATCCTGGATATAAACTGTTTCAACTCCTACCCTCAAAACGAGGCTATAGAGCACTGCACACCAGAACAACTAGACACAAGGACAGTTTTTTTCCCGAATGCCATCACTCTGCTAAACAAATAATTCCCTCAACACTGTCAAACTAGTTACTAAGTCTGCATTACTATTAATCTTCTCATTGTTCCCATCACCCATCTCCTCCCACGCATGACTGTAACCTTGTTGCTGGTATCCTTAAGACTTATATTATATTTATTTATTTATTAAATTTATATACCGCTCTATTCCCAAGGGACTCAGGGCGGTGAACAGCGAAAGATAAAAATACATGTAATACAAACGTTAAAAAACCAATTAAAATATACTAAACACTCTGGTCCTAGATAATTCAAGACATCCCAGTTTAAAACAAAATCAGAAGCAATATAAAGGGAAAGTTAGGCCAGGCCGGCCTGCTGAAACAGGAATGTTTTGAGGGCACAGCGGAAAGTGCGCAGATCCGGGATCTTCTGGGGGGAGCTCGTTCCAGATGGCGGGTGCCCCCACAGAGAAGGCTCTCCCCCTGGGGGCCGCCAGTCGACACTGTTTGGCTGATTGCACCCTGAGAAGCCCCTCTCTATGGGAGCGTACTGGGCGGTGAGAGGCTATTGGTGGCAGAAGGCGGTCTCGTAAGTACCCCGGTCCTAAGCCATGGAGCGCTCTAAAGGTGGTAACCAAGACCTTGAAGCGCACCCGGAAGACAACCGGGAGCCAGTGCAGCTCATGCAGGAGGGGAGCCACATGGGAGCACCATGCTGCTCCCATAACTACCCGCACAAAACCAGACACAAAGTCACTTAACCTTGCTCAGCAATGAAAATTCTGTTCCCGTCTCGCGGTCATAAAATGAGGACTCATCGGTACAATAAAAGTGTCCGAAGAACTTCAAACGTAGAAGGAAAAACAAACAAACAAACAAACAAAAAACACAAGAAGCAACATTGCTAAGAAAAGTTGATAAGTAGGAGAAAGATAAAATAAAAGAAGTAAAAGAAAGATTTACATTTGCTGTGTTGTGGAGGCAATAGTGGGATTTAAGAAATCATGAGAAACAAATCAATTTGGAATTCCTGCTTGGTAATTCACCCTGGATTTTATTCACTGAATGGAGAGACACGTTTAATTTATACCTAAATGCGTGACAGGTTTCCTAAATGTCCCACATTTCTGAGTTTACACAATACAATCTTCCAAAATTGAGCCCAAAATTTCAGTTGCTAAGTGAGACATTGGTTAAGTGAGTTTTGTCCCGTTTTGCAACCTTTTTCTGCCACCGTTGTTAAGCAAATCGCTGGAGTGGATAAGTTAGTAACGCAGTTATTAAGTGAATCTGGCTTCCCCATTGACTTTGCTTGTCAGAAGGTCGCAAAAGGAAATCAAATGACCTCCGGGACATTGCAACTGTCATAAATATGAACCCAAGCATCTGAATTTTAATCATGGGGTTGCTGCAACTGTCATAAATCTGAAAATGGTCGTTAAGTCACTTTTTTCCAGAGCTGTTGTAACTTTGAAAGGTCACTAAACGAACGGTTGTACGTTGAAGACTACCTGTAAAATCAACGTTTATTTGGATTAAAAGGAACGACACTCAGAATATGTAAAAATGACATATTGAAATACTGAGTAACTAAATAGATTATAACAACGTTCTCTACATGGGGCTCCCCTTGGGGTGCACCCGGAGGCTCCAACTGGTGCAGAATGCGGCCGCGCGGGGGATTATGGGAGCGACGGGGCGCTCCCATGTGACTCCTCTCCTGCGCGAGCTGCATTGGCTTCCGGTGGACTTCTGGGTGCGCTTCAAGGTGTTGGTGAGCGCTCCATGGCTTAGGGCCGGGGTACTTACAGGACCGTCTTCTGCCACCAATTGCCTCCCACCGTCCAATTCGCTCCCACAGAGAGGGCCTCCTCAGGGTGCTGTCGGCCAGACAATGTCGGCTGGTGACCCCCAGGGGGAGAGCCTTCTCTGTGGTGGCACCTACCCTCTGGAACAATCTACCCCCAGAGATACGAGTGATCCCAGACCTCCGGACTTTTCGTCAGGCCCTTAAAACCTACCTCTTTCAGTTAGCCGGGCTGTCCTGATTTTATGATGGGTTTTTAAAATTTGAAATTGGTTTTAAATTGAAATGTTTTAAATTATGGGCCAAATTATTTAATTATTTTTAAATCTATTTTAATTTTTGTATATAAAGTGTTTTACTTGGCTGTTCACCGCCCTGAGTCCGAAAGGAGAAGGGCGGTATAGAAATTTGAAAAATAAATAAATAAATAAATAAATAAATAACTTAACATAAATATGTGTATTATTACTAAGCTTGTCAAATGTAGTAAATATGTTGAATATTATTTTGTTTGCACTAAAATATATGACACTCAGGTCCCACGCTGTTCAAGTACTTATAATGTTTGTAAAAAAAGAATAAAAACAAAAAACTTGGGAGAAAATACACCATTTGCTCAAATTATGGTAGCAAAAGTTAATTCCTACGCCACAGTTGTTAAGTGACTCACTGCACTTGTTAAATTAGTTAACCCGGTTGTTAAGTGAATCTAGTTTCCCCATGGACTTTGCTTGTCAGAAGTTCACAAAAGGGGATCGCGTGACCCCGGGGACACTGCAACCGTCGTAAGTATGAGTCGGTTGCCAAGAGCCTGAATTTTGATCACGTGACTATCGGGATCAGGGACGGTATTCCCTTACCTTCGCTACCGGTTCGCAAATGGGAGTGCAGAACGTCAAAAACGGGACGTGATGACGTCCGGGTAGGCGGGCGGAGCTTCTTACAGCAGCCGCCGCTACCACTGACATAATGCTTGTGTGAAAAACTGTCATTTAGTGAGTTTTAACTTCAAACGGTCACTAAACGAACTGCTGTTAAGTCGAGGACAACCTGTACACTGAACTGTGGAATAGAAGGATGTGCAACTCACCAAGATATACTACGCTGGATTTATTTGCGATTGTGTGTCATACGAGCCCAGCTTAATTGTGGCCATAAACTACCACAATGACTTCTGGTGCGGTTTTAACGGCAACCTTTCCATGTGTAGTTAAAATACTTTTAGTCATCCGATTCTCCTCCGCGTACAATTCATTCGGGTACATAATGTAAAACATATCCTACTGATAAAGCATGATTAAGCAAATGAGTGATGCAAGAAAGGAAGGGCAAAAAAAGGAAAGGGAAAAAAAAATTAAGAAGTAGCAATAAAAACAGTTAAAGGGAAGAGACGGCGGGAAATCAGGTGACCGGCAGAACTTAAAAGAAAAATCCAGCGATCGACTTAAGAAAAAACTTTTTTTTTTTTAAAAAAAAGGGGGTCAAAATAAAACTAATGAAAACCAAGACCCCAAATCCGGGGTTTGTCGGGGAAAAAAAAAACCCTTTCAAAAACCAAGTTTGCCAAACTCTAAAAGCTAATCCATCTCACAAGGTAAGAAGGCATGGGAAGGCGGCGAATTTCCTGCACACCTCTTCCTTAAAAGTCATAATTTCGGTTCATAATTCAGACCGTAAAACTGAAAAGACTTTTGGTGAAAAAAGAGAGAGAGTAATTTTTGTCCACCACTCATCTTTTAAGGAAAGAAGAAGAACAAAAAAAAACCTTCCTGTATTAAAATAGCAAAATATCTCCTTTTTTCCCCCCACTCCCTAAGATTAGTTAGATTTGGGGACAAACCTTCAAGAACCCTCACATTTCCCACTGAATGAGCCAAGGGGCTCAAACGTGAACCTAGTTAACACGTGTTTTCCCTTCCAACGTGTGAACCTATTTAAAGGGGCACCCGGGCATCCTAAAATTTAAAATAAGGCTGAAATCCTTCTCTCCAACAAAGCCGGGGGGGGGGGGCTCCTTCCATCGGTCAGAACTCATTTTCACACAAACCCTCCAACACGCATCTCCAAGAAGAGGAGTTCACAAGACCGGGTTCCCCCCCCCCCCCCCGGTTGCAATCACGTCTTGGAAAGATCCTTCTCTTTCCCCCCTCCCCACAAACACCAGGACTATAATGGGCTAAAAATTACCCTTAAATTTCAAGTCCTGCTGCGGAGATGGCAGCCTCGGCCCTGGCCCAAAAGGAAACCCCCACGGATGCTCGTCTGAACCCCGCCGGGAAGGAAAGTCCCGTGCAAAACCGGTGCTCTTGATTTTATTTAATTATTATTTTTTTTGCAATTTTTTTGTTTGCAATTTTCTTGCATTTTTTCTTGCAAATTTCTTGCAATTCTTTTTGCAAATTTCTTGCAATTTTTTTTGCAAATTTCTTGCAATTCTTTTTGCAAATTTCTTGCATTTTTTTTTTTTTTTTTGCTTTTCTCGTTGCGAGGGGTAGAAGAAGCCGAGCCCCCCCCCCCTCTCCCCGGCCCTTTGCTAGGCAGGGATGAAGCCAGCTCGACCTTGCTTCTACCCTAGCAAAGGCATCCCCACCGCCCCCCCAAAAAGCCGTCCCCGCGAGGCCGAGAAAGTGGCCGGCTTGCCCTGTGCTCTGCCCTGCCTTGCCCCGCACGCTCCGAACCCGGCCGGCCACGCGTTTGCTCACCTGCGCCGCCTCCGCTCGGCCTGGAAGCCGCCTAACCAGCCGCCGCAGCTGCTGCAACTCGCCTGCTTTTTCCTCGCCCTCGGATCCCCGGGGAAACTCTTGGCCACGCCCACTCCGCTGGGAGGCTCCGCCCACCGTTCCGCCTGCCCGAAAGTGGGGGGCCTGGCAGGCGTAGTGGGCGGGGCCGCGCAAGCCCCGGAGCAAAGGCTGCCGGGAGTGGTAGTTCGCCCTTGGATGAGGGAAGGCCCGCCCTGGAAGCAACATTTTGTATTTTTAAAACGCCCCCTCTTTTTTTTATTTCAAGAAAAAAATAGGGGGTGTATTTGGAGGATTTTGGGGTTTTTTAGGGCTTCTTCTAAAGGGGAAGGGGAGATATTTGGTGGAAGCAAAGGGCTGCTCTGGATTGACACAAATCAAATCCTTTGACTGAAAGGATCAAATTTTGCAACGAAATTTCATTTTAATGCAGGGTGCATAAAAAGCGATGGTGTTTTTTTACAAACATTGGATTTTTAAAAATTTAAATCAGTTTTTTTTAATTTAAGTCAGATTTTTTTTTTATTTAAATCAGATTTTTTTTAAAAAAATTTTTTATCAAATTTATTTTAATAAAATACTTTTGGAGCCGTCAAAAGATCGTTTTCTATTTAAGATGCATTAATAGTTGAGTTTAGGGATTTAAATTGTGATTTAAATTATGATTTAAATCGGGATTTAAATCGACTTCATTTAAATCAAATCCACCCTTGTTTTAATGTATGGCGATTGGCGTAGATTTAAATAAAGTTTTAATAAAGTGACAACAAAGTTTTTCTAAAAGTCGAAAATGAGAGCTGGATGTTGCAACGGGTTTCTTTGGAAGGGGCAGGAAGGGTGTTTCTGCTTTTACCTGGATAAACATCCATTTTTTTTTGCAACAGGTGAATACTGAGCCAGTTTATGCTTCCTCGCTTGTTAATACCTGATGAGCTTTGAATAAAATTGGCCAGCCAGGGAGAAGAAAGTGGTACCAAACTCCTGATCTTTTATCTACAAGTAGTCCTCGACTTACAACAGTCCATTGAGGGACAGTTCAAAGTTACAATGGCATTGAAAAAAGTGACAGGATCATTTTTCACACTTACGGCTGTTGCAACATCCCCATAGCCACGTGATCAAAATTCAGACGCTCGGCAACGGACTCATATTTATGATGGTGGCAGCGTCCCTCGGGGTCACCTGATCCCCTTTTATGACCTTCTGACAAGCAAAGTCAATTGGGAAGCCAGATTCACTTCATAATTGTGTTATTAACTGAACAACTGCAGTGATTCACTGTGGCAACACCATGGTCGTAAAATAGGGGCATATAACTCTCTTTAACTGTAATGCTTAACAAACAGAAATGTTGGGCTCAGTTGTATGGTCATAACTTGAGGATTACCTGTAAATACATTCGCTCTTCCTACAATGCTTGCTTTATTGTATAATATCTTCTTTGTTGACAATATTTCTTTGCAGATTTCATTCTGCTGGAAGAAATGTCCATCTGGGTTCAGTTCCAAGTGGGGAGAAAAGACACTGGAAACATGGTGGCTGATTGGAAAAATGGTTTTTAATGGTGGACAGGACCACATGGTTTGAGATCCTGGGCAAAAAGGGAAAAGATGCTGAGAGTGCCTGGGTTTTATGCCCTCTCTGGGCTTTCAAATTTGAGCTTGTATTCTGATTGGTTGTGAAGATTCCCATGGGGCCATGTAGGGGTAACTTTGTAGGTTGTCTATGTCCCGGGCTTGGTTGACTCTTGCGGGGTGATGATGTAACGAAAGGGCTTTGGGAAATTCCTGCTATGGCTCTGCCTGAAGGAGGTAGACCTTTGTTATGTAGAATAGACTGGCCCAGGCCTTAATGGCCCATTGACAAAGGTGGGGGTGGGTGAGTTTCTGCCTCTTTTTTAGGGGACATATTCTGCCCTTTTAATATTTCCGCAAATATCTCATTTTCCTAGGAGAGGGGTGGGTGCTAACTTCCCACAATACCCAGAAAGCATCTTTTAGCAAAACTATTGCTCAGTACAGCAATTCACACTTAACAGAATTAGGTCCTCCAGAATTTCAACCTCTTTTTTACAGTGCGGTGACTATAAATGATCCCTTCCAACTTTGTTATTCTCTTATTCTTCTCCATGGCACTTTGCTGTGTGCTTGAAGAGGCTCTTGGCTGGTGAAAGGGAGACGTTTAAGTATGGAAAACAGAATTAATATATTGAGAAATTCTTCTGTATTTCTGAATCAAGCAAGGCCACACATGTTGTTGTGATTCATCTGCCCAACATACCTTAATGTCTCCATCCTGCTTCAGGTAGCATGTCTCTACAGGGCTGGATAATCTGTAAAACGTGCTGCCCATTTTGGAGCTTCTTAATCATGGAGATGATATTTTTGAAGAATATAGAAAAACATTCCAATTTTAGGATTATTTATTTGGTAGGCCCCGCATGCAAGCATCATCTGCTTTACTCCCTAGGAAAGGAATTTATCCTGGAGGGTTTAATTCAGATTAACAGAGTTGGAAGGGACCTTGTAGGTCATCTAGTCCAACCCCCTGCTCAAACAAGAGACCCTACACCATTTCTGACAAATGGCAGTCCAATCTTTTCTTGAAAGTCTCAAGTGATGAAGCTCCCACAACTTCCAAAGGCAACTTCTGTTCCATGGCTTGATTGTTCTCACTATCTGAAAGTTCCTCCTCATTTCCAGGTTGAATCTCTCCTTGACCAGTTTCCATCCATTATTCCTTGTCTGGCCTTCAGGTGCTTTGGAAAATAGCTTGACCCCCCTCTTCTCTGTGGCAGCCGCTCAAATATTGGAAGACGGCGATCATGTCTCCCCTGGTCTTTTCTTTTCACTAGACAAGACCTACCCAATTCCTGCAACCATTCTTCATTCACACCGTTTAATGTATGTACGTAAAACATGCTTTCAATTTTCATCAGATTTGAGATCCAAACAAGGAAGGTACCACAGCCTGATATTTATCATTTATTTCCAAAAAGGTTCCAGTCTCTTATTTCGCATCAGTTTTGCAATTTTGTAAGACCTTCCCCTTAGCTAGCTTGGATACCTGTGTACAGGTAGTCCTCCTCTGGGGGTGGTATTGACTTACCTTCTCTATTGGTTCGCAAATATGAGCATCTGTGTGACACCTCTGCACGTGCCCAGGATCTTTGGCGCATGCACAGAGCATCAAAAACGGGATGTGATGACATCAGGGCATGTGAGTGGAGCCTCCTGCAGCCGCTACTACCGGTTTGCCTGAACCGGATAGAACTGGCTGTATACCACCACTGGTCCTCCTCCTTACAACCACAATTGAGCCCAAAATTTATTTTGCTAAGTGAAACATTTGTTAAGTCAGTTCTGCCCCATTTTACGACCTTTTTGCCAGCGTTGTTAAGTGAACCACTGCAATTGATAAGCTAGTGACCTGGTCGTTCAGTGAATCTAGACAACACAATGGTCATATAAATATGAACCAGTTGCCAAGCATCTGAATTTTGATCCTGTGACCATGGGGATGCTGCAACCGTCGTAAGTGTGAAAAATGGTCATAAGTCCCTTTTTCCAGTGCCTTTGTACCTTCGAATGGTCACTAAAGGAATCGCTGTAAATTGAGGACTATTTGTATTTGCATCTGTGTGTGTATTCCCATCCCTTTTATTTTAAAACACATTTAAAACAAAAGTTTGTTTTAAAATGTTTAAC